TTCGCTTAAAAAAATAAAAACCATTCGGCATTTTCATACATGACCAAATCGCTAAAATGGTAAATTTTAATGGTAAAACTTGAAAAACGACAATTTAGGTTTTTGGGCATTTTAGTTCGTAGTATGTTCATAGAAAGAAGTTTTTGGAAAATAAAAAATCTTTTTAAACTTAAATTTGCCGTTTTACAAATTTTGCCATTAAAATTTATGATAACATTTTAGCGATTTGGTCATGCATGAAAATGGTTTTTATTTTTTTACGCGAAAACGGTGCGTCGGACAAAAAAAGCCAAGAAATAAAATATGTTGTAAATCGAATGGGTATTTCAAAAATAATATTAATTTTATTTAAAAAGTAGTGGCGTACCATTCAACGCGAATTGCAATAGAGACTTCAAACTCTACAGATATAAAAAGACTCAAAAGACCTTTAAAACAAGGTATCACTCGACCCCCTATTCCATTTAAAATTTTAAGGGTGATAGCTACCCCGTCAAAGGGGTGCAAGCAAAGAGAGTGCAAATACCAAAAAAAATAAGCCTCCCTGAAAAACAAAATCGACGTGTCCGAGCACTTTTCGAATTATTTATTTACAAAGAAGAAACGGCGAATGCAGATTCTGTGGGAAAGATGGGAAACACCAGTACACATCATCACTGAGTGCCGAGACGACAACTATTCGTGCCATGAATTTTAAGTACGACTGATGGAGATGGAGAACTACCCTTCTATAAAACCGTCCCAGATACTGGCTTTGTCAAAGCCCTGGGACTGTATGATGAGTTATGATTCAAGAAAGGGAGACACAATGGATCTGTAGGTCGAAGTGATTAACCCCTCTCCCACCATTCTACCCTAAAAAAAAGGGTTGGTTAATGAACTGAACAAAGACAGAACAGTAAAAACGTTGCCAAACGTATGAAATAAACCGAGAAAACGTGTAGCACATTGTTAAGAGACGTGGAAAAGAATATAGCAGATTTGTCGCAATCGACTGGTCGACCCAATCAGTACTTAAATTTCTAGGAAAAGGTGTACATCATACGTTCAGCTTCACGATTTAATTACGTCTCGTGATACTTTGTTTATCTATTAACGAGTCGTTGCAATTCTCCCTTATAGCTTGTAATTTTTTAAATAAAAAAAAAAAAAAAAAAAACACTTTTTGGTAAAAATAAGTGGAATTGAGTTGTGTTCGACAGTGGTCAGCTATTAGAACTATTAGAATTCAAAAATCGATATCTCGAAATCCATTAGAAATAACTGATTGTAAATTAATGTGGGCATAAAAATAACTACTTTATTTTGTAGATTTTCTTTAAAATGACCATAGACTTTTTTGGAGCAATTGATTGTAGTTTTTTTTAAAAACTTTAATATTTCTGCTGTATTTTCTTCACAGACAGTATGTGTGAAAATCTTTTATAAATAAAAAGTTAAGAATGATTGCTGAAAATTACAATGCAAAATGGACGGTTTTTATTAAATTTTTAAAAAAAAAAAAAAAAAAATTGGTTGAATTTTTTCTTATTTAAACATCTTGTAAAAGATACGTACCTCAAATAAAAGTTTTAATATCTAAAGTAGTTCTTGAGTTATCGCGCGTTGCGTGTTAAAAAAGTTGAGTTTTTAACTTATCGTGATTACTGACGTTTTCTCGTTATAATAAACATGGACACTTTAATGATATCTTTATAATCCCATTTCTGATGCTTAGAAACATATCTAATAATTTTATCTAGTTATCATTTCGAAGAAAAAGTCTTTAAAAATAAGCCGTTTGCGATTGTGATTTTACTTACTTGATAGGGAAATGCGTACCGGAGAAATGTGGCACCGCCGCAACAGCACATCGTCGCGCCTTCACTCCGACTTAATAAGATCCCTATGCGATTTATTTCCACACATGTAAATACTCGACCCAAAAGTAAGCGTTGCCAGGACGGTATATATAGGAAAAAAAATGCAATTTTACTCCCTTATTTCAGAATTTTCATAGCATTTTCAAGCTCACATACCAAAATCCGACTGTATGTGCATAATTTAAAGTGAATAATAGCGATGGGAACTATCGAATGAATTAGACTATCGAATGGTTACTGAATGAATGATTTCAACTATCGAATGGTTTTATTCCAATAAAATCATTCATTCATTTGTATACTAGAGCATACGTGACAACCTCGCCGTGCCACTGAATGGTTATCGTTGAGCCACGACTATCGAATGCTTTTGATAAATGAAATTTAGTATCCGTTTGATTTTTGTGTGCGTCAGTGCATTATTAGTTCTTCCAAATTTCTATAACTTCGCCGTATAAATACTGTGCTATTTTTGCGTTTATTAAAATATTTAAAATACTAAAATAGTAGTTTTTTTTTAATTGACGAGTGTGTGCGTGTGCAGGTGGTCACCATTTTTCCGAAAATTTTTGTGATTTTCCGTAGCGGGATCTTTCAATTATTTAATTTTATATGGTATATGGTCTATTTTTTAATGGAAAATTTGAGAAGTAGCACTTTTTAAGAGAGATGAGATGAACTTACAATTAATTTTTAAAAAATAGATATTTGTATTTTAGATGTTTTAATAATATGAATTAGTTGAACTTAATAATCATATTTAAGTAATGTGGTTAAGTAAATGGGGTTATCGAACTCAAGCTATGGGGTGAGAAAATTCAATTGAAAGTTTTACACGTGCCAATTTTAAAAAAAGTTAACGATAAGTTGTATTTTTATGCTAATTCTCTGGCATGTAGTTTTTTTGCGAAGAAATATTTCATTTATTTTTTAAAGTAAATGCCAGTAAAAGTAAATAATATTATTTTTAAATAGTAATATACTCTGTTTTTTTTCTCAGGTAAGATTTCGACAGACGATGACAGAAGAAAAGCAGATGACGTCCCATACCAATCTATTTATTTTACTAAAAAAAGTTTCTAATAATTTTTAAGTTATCTTTATGTGGTAGTTAGTATATTATATATGGATGGGTTTAAATATAAATCCGTCATGCGTCGTGTCTTGTTGTTTTTAACCAGTTTTATTGGTTTATTTAAAAAATGACAGAGCATATTTCAATTTTATTGGTTTGACGGAACGATGAACGACAAACGAACGCCGATGCGTATGAACTCGCTTTTAGATTTTTAGCTTTTTGACGCTTGTCAAAGTCTGCCAAATTATAGGTTGGTAATTTTGTGTCAACTTTGTTAAATACCCTGCGTTTTGTAAAATGATGCATTTTGATTCGTATTATTACGTGTGTTTTGTGTCTTTGAAGTCAAGTGGAGGAAAATCGAGTGAAAATTAACTGTAGACCCAGAGCACAGTTTATGGTTAATAGTCGCTGCCCTAGCAGAAAGTCTTATACACCAATGAAGTTGCCATCTATAAAGTTTGTATACCATTTCGTCGTAGATAAGCGCATCTCGTATATGGTAGAAGGATCAAACTACACACATACTAAAAACTGGAGCAGCTGTAAAATATCGACATCAAACGATAGGTAAATAATGGATTTAGTACTGCAGAAAAATAATGTCAAATGGTACTGGTTTTTTAAAAAATTAAGATTAGTTAATTAATCAACCTTAAGGTATAAAATTTGGTAGGTGTTATTATTAATAAAATAGCATTTACAAAACAAAAAAAAATATGTTGTTTTATTTATTCCTGTGGAATATTACAACGAAATTTGTACATGTTATATTGATAAATATAAATAAATGCAGTAGTTTCATAAAGCTTGAAAGTAAATAATAGTTCTTTTTGGTATGTAGTGTCTTGTCTTTGTTTGTTTTGTATTAACACATACCGTTTTTATTAAATAAAATAACTCGATTACATTTTTCAGTTTTATACACTTTTTTCACAATATTTTGAAGTAATCACTTGTCATCTTGTCAATCAAATTTTAAATATTTTCTGCTATGCGTTCCAGTTGTACCAACTTATTTCTTTGTAAAATAAAATAAACTACTTTAAAATTAAAATGACAGACACATCTATCACTGTCAAGGATCTTCTCGTTGGACAGACTATATAAAGCACCTAATATATGTAAATAATTTTGATTTCTAATTTTTTATTTATATTTTTCTTCCATTATACTGCATGCTTAGAAAATTAATAAATGTTGATATTTCATGATTTTAAAATTTGTTGTTAATATAACAAATTAGTTCTGTAATTATTATTTAAAAAAACAAATCAAGCTGCCAAAAAAATTTAGAGTCTATACATTTTTGGGGATCTAATATAAATAATTTTTGACATTTAATTTGTTGTTTATATTTTGCCACTACTTAAAAAAAATGTTCATATTAATGATTTTAAATTTTGTTTTTTTTTTTTAATTTTGAAATTACTGTTATTATTATTATTTATTAAACCAGTCTTTGCTTAAAAGATTAAAAATCATTTTCCTCACATCCAAAATAACAAGTATTATTGCAGTGTAACAACAGAATATTAATAAAAATGCAAATATATAGACATACTATCCCTAACTAACTAACGCCAAACAATAATACTTTGCTAATACCAATATATAGCAACAGCGCCTTTCATAATGTAGTTTTGTAAAATACTAGCACCAATAAAAAAATAATGTGTCCTTATTTTTATCTACTCCGCAAAAAATCAAAGATGCCGCCTTCTTTCATAGCATTGCCACCGACCGCTGTCGGGTTTCTGGGAAACAAACCTACGTTGCCGGGCGACAACTAAAATCCAGTTAATATTTTATTATAATCGATCCTGACGAATAAATGAATTTCATAAATGAATGAATTTTATAAATGAATGGTTTTTGCTGCCGAATTACTAGAATATAATATTTCAAGGCAGATGAAGCGTCTATTCGATAATTTTTATTCGAATAGTTTTCAACGAATGTTTTCTTACTAGCTATCAAATTATTCGAATGAATTGCAACTATCGAATGTTTCGACAGTATTCATTCGATAGTTCCCACTACTAGTGAATAATACTTACAAAAATGTGTAGGCTTTTGCAAAATCGACTGTCCACCTGATGGAAATAGATTCTTTGCTATCTGGTTCATTGGTGATTGGAAACAGTCAGTTGCTGATACTACACCAGGGGAAAGAGGCTCTAAAACAAACAAAAAATGATGTTTGGTTAGGTTGGGTTTAGAGTTTGATATCAAAATTTGATGAATTTTGATATCAAACACTCTAAACCAAACCAGAGATTAACCATTTTTGAGAAAAAATAAAATATTAGGAGGAAAAAAACTGCCTGTCAAACTATTTTTGTATAGCCTAAACGTCAAATTTAGTGATTACCACAGCCACTGCGCCATAAAGAGAAAACATGTGGATATTTTTTTAATCATGATATAAAAACAATTTTTCAATAGGTGATCATATATTTGTTTTTTTAGCGACACCAGAAGCAACCGCGTAAGATATAGCAAAAGCTGACATATGATATGTCATTCTACAGAGTGTCGGCTTTATCGAATAAGTAGTGCCATCTCCGGTGAAACATCCATCGCAAACATCACGGTTTATGTCATATATCACCAGTCTGTATTTTATTTGAAAAGAGCAAAATTGGATGAGTTTTTGACTTCACCCGGTCGGTTAACAGTCGAAGTTTCATTTTATCCATCGTCTTTCCTTACACGGAACATTTATGTTTTCTCTAATTTAAATAAATAAAAAAAAAAAAAAAAAAAAATAACAATCATATTTTTTTTCCCTGTCGCCGATTCTATATCTGTGGAATAGATCCGGTTTTGACATTAGTTGCAATGCTTGACTAAAATTAATAATTTTTTTTTTTTTTTTTTTTTTTTTTTTTATTATAAAATTTCTATAACGTATTTTGTTTTTAACTTTTTTGAAGTCTTCTAAGATTTATTAGTTTAATTTTTAAACAAAAAAAAATTTTAATAAATATAAAATATAGCTTTTATCTTTAATTAGCTTCATTAAAATAAAAAATAAAAAAAAAAAATCAAAATTCATCAAATTTTGATATCAAACTCTCTAAACCAAACCAGATTAACCATTTTTGAAAAAAAAAATTAAAATATTAGGAGGAAAAAAACTGCCTGTCAAACTATTTTTGTATAGCCTAAACGTCAAATTTAGTACATCACAGCCACTGTGCCATAAAGAGAAAACATGTGGATATCTATTTCAAATATTAAATTGTTCGAATATCATTTAACATTCGCTGTAGCTGTCATGGAATTGGGCGATTAAAGTTATAGGCTTAAAATTATCAAAATATACGCTTTAAAACAAAACCTTAAATAACTTAAAAACGATTTATTTTAGGTATAGGAATATGTATATCTAAAAAGTAACATACTGAAAATCCTTTTCAGTAGTGAAATATAAAAATTAGTTTCCATTTGAAAAAAAATATTTACAATAATCTTTTAATCGCTCAATTCCATGACAGCTACTAATCAAAAGTTGTAGCCCAATATTGTATGACATTTGAACAATTTAATTTTTGGATATATCGATCATATGGTACTTACCATGGACTTAAAATAAAATATAGACTGAACATCTCATTCATAAATAGCTGGAACATGCGGTCAGACAATGTCTTGTTATTGTTTTAGGTTACAACGAGTGCGACACGAGCGATAGATAGGTTGTCTCTGTCGTAACGGTCGTTCCCTGACGACTCTGCCGAGAAACACAACACTGTCTTTCGTTTCTAAGTACACCTGAACTCTCCGTAACATAGCCGGGTAATTTTTTATTTTAATGAAGTTATAATTAAATTAAAAATATATCGTATTTAAACTTTTTATATTTTATTACATTTAGCACAGGTTTTTTAAATAAAAGTTTAGGAAAAACGTCTTAGAGTCCAAAAGGATAAAAATAATAAAATACACGTTACAGAAGAAATTTTATAATCGAAATTACGTAATTTTTTGAAATTAATAATAAATTATTAATTTTAGTCAAACATTTGCAACCCCTAATATTAATCAAAACAGGATCTATTCCACAGATATAATAGAAAAATAAAAAAAAAAAAAAAATATGATTGTTGTAATTTTTTTTCTGCTAAGTGATGTCTTATTATGTAAATTAGAGAAAAACATAAATCTGTTCCATTAAAGCCAGGAAGGTGATAGGAAGTGATAAAATGAAAACTACATTTATTTAACTCGGTACTGTCTTTATTATACCGAAAGTCCTCCAAAGGGTTCATCCCATAATTTTTATATTTTCAAATAAAAACACAAGATTTAGTATGTTAGTATATGACATAAATTAGGATTGATTGACGCATTCAATTGTTTTTGGTTACCTTCTTCACCGGAAATGACTAACTTTTAATTCTTAAACGGCACCCTCGGTATTTCTACTTATTCAATAGAAAATGACACTCTGAATAGAATGACATATCATATGTCAACTTTTGATGCATTTTTCGCATATGGTTTAATTGTAATTGTAACACGCGGTTCATAACGACAATTTGACTGAAATACCAAGTGTGTGGTATCAATATATTCATAAAAAAATGCTTCCAAATATGCTAATGAGTCACCCTGTTTCATTTAAAAATTGACATATGTATGATTAAAAATACGATTTGTACATCTTTAACTGGCCTAGACAAGATACGAAACCTATTAGACGATCAAAACTATTTTTCAAGGCTCCTTGATAAAAACTTAGTGTTTTTAACAACACCATGGTAATCTGGATTGAAATTTAAAATACGATTTGTTTTTTAAACGATAATGTCAAAAGTTGACATATGATATGTCATTCTATTCAGGAGTATTTTTTATCGAATAAAGTAGCAATATACCGAGGGTGCCTTTAAAATCAAAAGATGTAATCATTTCGGTGAACAGGAAGAGACCAAAAACAATTGAATACGTCAATATCAAATCCTAATTTATGTCATCATATACCTACTAACATAAAAATTTCTTTTTTTATCTGAAAAATAAAAAGTTATAGGGGTGAGCCACTTTGAGACGAGACCCGGTATATTAAAAAATATTGTTTCATAATGTAATATCATTTTAAAATTTTGTATATTATTTAAGATTTTGAAGATAATTTTAGAATAAACCGAATATATTTTTAATAAAAACATTATTAATTATTAACAGGGAATTAATTATGATTTTGTTACAATGTAAGTAAATAATGTAATGTAAAGAAAATTCACATTTTACATTTTTACTAAAATATTATCTAAATAAGCGCCTTTCTACAACAACGCTACTGACTCCCAATGGGTAAATCGAGAGTTGCCTACCGGTCCAAAGTCGTTTCAAGACTTTAAATGGATTATTTAAGTCAACTTTCTTGCACATTTGGCACTGGCGAACCATATTTATAGTTCTAACAGAAAAAGTCAATAGAATAAACACTTAAGGGCTACAAGCTAAGAAATGCGTTAATACAGCCGGGGACATAGCGGCAACAAAGTTTCACCGCACACGTGCGACGCGTACCACAAGGTAATAAATGAATGAATAGGCTCCCTCGCCTCTAATCGGTGTTGTCATATTGTAAAGAACTTATGCTTTTTAAACAGTATCCGACTTATAATTTAGTAGTATAAGGACTATTTAATACATCTATGGAATATTAAAACTTACTTTATTAAACTGTAGTATTTATATCTCAATATATGTGTATAACAAGAAAAAAAAATATTGATAATATTAAAGACGTGACAACATAGGCTGGATGAGGAAGGCTCGGTCGACTGTACCCAGAAGTAAACATGTGTATAAAAAAGATTGTTTGACCGCGTTGAGATGTAAATAGTGTAGTCTATATTTTATTTTAAGTCTATGGTACTTACCTTGGTCATTAGATATATCATTATAAAGAAGTTGTCCCGGTAATGCTATATCTTCAAATTTTGGTATCGGCTGGCCAGATTTTTCAATCGCTTGCCAAATAGGACTGTCAGATGCCCAAGCCAGAGACTCAATTACAGTTTCCTCTATCTGAAATAAACATCAATATAAAAAAATATCACATATTTCAAATACCCAATACATTACCCTGTTCAAATGCTTAATCAGGTCTCTAAATAAATTATCCTTACACCTAACAATTAGCTCTATAATTTTTACAAATTGTATTGCTTCAATTTTCAACACTTTTAATATCCATGGAAAGGGTTTGGCGAAATTGTGACAGTACAAAACCATTTCTAGGCAACCGGCCAATGTGCATTCATAAAATATATCTTTTTCAATAACCATCTAAAATATAAGAAATAATTCAGTTCTATCACACATTAATTTTATATGATGCAAATTTTGTTTTTCTAAAAAATATTAATTAGAAAATTCGACTTTTTGTTTTTAATTATTACTTATAATAATAATGAAACGTCCACGTTCTGCTGTGATCATTATTGTCCAGGTCCAGGCTCTCATACGTAAGCTCTAAGAAATTTTAGGAGCATATATGTAGACTAATTGAAAACATTTTATAAAAAAAAGTTTTTTAAAATATACCGGGTGCGTCTCAAAAGTGGCTCACCCCTACAATTTTTTTATTTTTTGAGATAAATAGAGGAGATTTGGTACGTTAGTATATAGTAGCAAAATAAAAACACTAAATCACCACAATACACCAAAACACTTTTACTTTTACACTGGAATTACATTGTAATAGTAGCTGTAATTTTACATTGCATCATCAGCAGATGATTATAAACTCAAGTCAAGTATATGACATAAATTAGAATTGATTGATGTATGCAATTGTCTTAGATCACTTCCTGTTTCACCGAAAATGACTACAACTTTTAATTTTTAAATGTCACCCTTGGTATATTTTTACGTTATTCCATAGAAAATAGAATGATATATATCAACTTTTGACATATTTCTTTTCGCTTTTCGCTTTAAAAAAAAACCTATTTTAAATTGTTGTGTTAAAAACACTAATTTTTAATCAAGAAGTTCTTTTCCAAGAGTTAAAATCCTAAGTTATGTGACACACTAACTTACCAAATCTTATTTTTTTTATCTAGAAAAATAAAAAAGTTATAGATGTGAGCCACTTTTGAGACGCACCCGGAATAGAGTTCTACAGCCTGTCTCCCAAAAAAAATAACACATCAAACTAGTTAAAATTAAACAAATTTGACAGCTATGTTTTAGTTTCAATAACTGTTTTAATTTTAATGAACTGTCGTTCTCCTTAGAACTTCCGCAGCGTAGGAAAGACGCCACCCTGTATATATTTTTCATAACATTTTCTAAACAAATCTTACCGCTATGTCTGCAGAAATATTACGTTCCCTATTGATTATAAGTTCTATATATTTGTAGAATAATGTAACAGCAAAATCAAATTTGCTTTGAGCGTCCTCTTTTGACACATGCACTGTCAAATATCCTTCAACGAATTTGTCCCTGATTCTTGAAATAACACTTTCAATTTTTTCAGCAGGATTCTTTTCAAAGGACCTGAGAATAGAAATCATATTGGTTACAACTAATTTATGACTAACTAAAAAATTAAGCATAGAGTTGAAAAGTAATTCAATTTTCCCTTTTTTTAAATTTTATTCTGAATTTTCTCGTTTTTTCTTATAGCCGGAGAGCTGGCGACATATTTAGAGAACATATTTTAGGCAAGTTAGAATAACAAAAAAAAATAAAGTTTAATAACTTGTGAACCCACCATCCTAAGTCTGGCTGGGGGGTCGGGGGTATTTCGCTACTGCGCAACCCATAACATTTGCAAAAAAATAAATCCAAAAAAACATTCTTTAGGCAACTTGAAATTTGTTTATTCTTAAATTTTAGCATCTATTTAACCTAGAAATAAATGTGCCAGACTTTTTTTTCGGGTTTAAAGTGTAACCAGACCATTCCAAATATGTTTAATTATTACGCATGGAAAACATACTTTAGGCATTCTAAGATTTTTACAGCGTGTTTATTATTAGATGATATTAAAAAATATGTGTTAATTGCCAGACGAATTCAATGGGATTTAATACTTGCCAGACAAAAAAGTCTTATGAATATCTATAAGCGCGAGAAAGATAGTTTATTGAGACCCGTCGGCAGCCAATGCGGCTGACGTAACAGTATTTTGGAGTACTTCAAATTTTCATAAAAACAATTTTTTTTCGGTTTCATTTCAATTATTTGCAGGCTTTTAATTCAGAGATTATTTTGTTGGAATTAAGTTACCATGTATAAATATGTATTTATAAATTAAATATTGGACGTGCATAGTGTAAATAGTTTAGAATTATTACTGCAAATAAATATTTTAGTAACTACTAATTTCGCTACTAACTACTAAATCACAATGGATAAAAAACATTTAAGTTGTGTAGTTTGTAAAAAAGTTACTAGTGACAAAGTTATTGTTTTGATGAAGGTAGACTACAAAAATGCAAAGAATTTTTAAAAGTGCGCCAACAACATGGTTTAAAATTTAAATGCAGGCGTTAAAATTACTTTTTTATATTGTCAATCAGGTCACAAAAATTAATAATAATATAATATGTCACAAAAGTATAATAATAATTATACTTTTGTGACGTTTGAAAAAAAATTATTTTATATTATACTAATTTTTAAATAATTATTCGTCTTTTTATTCTTTCAGATACAAAATACTTAAATTAAAAAGTCTTCTTATTGAAAGGATTTCAATCATACATTTTTATTAAAAAATGTTTCTTTTTATTTATTCAATATTAGTTACTTTTTTTAAGTATTTACGACTCCAAAATGCTGTTACGTCAGCCGCATGGGCTGCCGACCGGGTCTCAATAAACTATCTTTCTCGCGCTTATAGATACTCATAAGACTTTCTTATCGCGCTCATTTAAAATCTTTATTCGCGTCTGGCAAGTATTAAATCCCATTGAATTCGTCTGGCAATTAACACATATTTTTTAATATCATCTAATAAACACGCTGTAAAAATTTTAGAATTCCTAAAGTATGTTTTCCAGGTATAATAATTAAACATATTTGGAATGGTCGGGTTACACTTTAAACCCGAAAAAAAAAGTCTGGCATACTTATTTCTAGGTTAAATAGATGCTAAAATTTAAGAATAAACAAATTTCAAGTTGCCTAAAGAATGTTTTTTGGATTTATTTTTTTGCAAATGTTATGGGTTGCGCAGTAGCGAAATACCCCCAACCCCCCAGCCAGACTTAGGATTCTGGGTTCACCAGTTAATAAACTATACATTTTTAGTTATTCTAGCTTGCCTAAAATATGTTCTCTAAATATGTCGTCAGCTCTTAGGCTATTATCATTCTGCAGATAAATGAAATTTTTGAGAACATTTAGAAAAAAAATGAGAACAAATAGGTATTCAGAACATGTTACCCATCTTTCTGGGCATATTAATATAGCAGAGCAACAACCAACACCACATACTGCAATTTGAAAAATAAAAAAAAAAATCAATAAGTTTATATCTATAGTAAAACACCGACTTATTGATACAAAATAGTTAATAAATATTAAATAAATAGTTATAAAACATAATTATAAACTTACTCAAAAAGACGGGTTAAATTTTCGCTTGGTGCAGGTGATCTGTCAGTTATTAGGGCTTGTAGTTTTGGCACTTTATCGGTTGAAGATATATCAGTGTTGCTTTCCCTAGGCCCTAAATATTTTCTACCAGTTAGAGGAGTTCCAGGTGTAACCTAAAAGAAAACAGAAAAAAATATATTACTTTACATTTTCCAATTTTGTCTCCATTAAAATTTACAAAATTGTACATCACCTGCAACAGATATCTATGTTTGTCCAAAGAGAGGAACCCTGACAGACGCCCGATAGTGACAATACTGTCTGTTATTGTAATTCACAATTAAATAGTATTTCTGTCATTTTTCGAATTGCGCGGGCCTCTGTCTTTCCTGACTCATTGGACAGACTATACATACATACCAGAGAAGAACAAACGGAGAGAAGCGACAAAAACCGTCGGCACTATTGAAGTAGGGGGGACCAAGTTTTGTGACCTTCAAATTGGCGTACGTGACAGATAGCATGTTTATAGTAGTTTATGTTTATAGCTACACTGAGAGAAATTCAATGAAGGCAAAAGAAATAAGAAAAGCTGTACACTGAAAAAACATGTGTTCAGTAAAAAGTATATTGAAGTAGATTTGTGGATTTACCGCGTTCGACCATTTTCTAACCTATTCCTTTTAGAGAGACATTTTCAAATCGTATCTGATAATATTGTTTGTTTCGAAATTAATATTTGAAAGTGTGTTTTTAAGTAAAACAATTTTAAGAAAAATTCGAATATTTATTAGCTGTTATCACAAGCACTAAACCAAACTAAAAAGTAAATAACATGATTACAGTTGGGGGTTGGAACTGGGGTATTAAAACAGCAAAATAAAACACTAATTCACCACAATACAATAAAATACTTTACTTCCGCAGTGCATCAGCAGATGATTAAAAAACATAATATCTTTATATAATGAAAACAGAGGTGGTAGATTAAATTTACAAGCAAGAAAACCCAGAAAAGATTCAGCGGTTCTAAAAATGTAACCAAAATTGTTTTTTTTTTAATTTTCAAAGTATCTCGGTTATTATGGACTTAATAATGAAATGAAAAAGAAAATATGCTTCATTTTTCGAGGTCTACCAGCCCTGAAAATATTTGCACTTATTTAAGACTCACTCTATATATTAAAAAATCATATTTTACATAAAAAACCATATTACTTTTAAAGATAACACAACTCAAATTAGCGCCGCTATTAAATTATATATGCGATAAAATATTTAATTTTCTAATAGTTTTCTTACCTTTTTGTTTTATTTTGAGGTCCCTATTCGTATATTTTATAGTATAGAATATTTTCAGCCTGATAAAGAGTTTTAGAGCATAGTCTTTGGAAATTGAGGACATGGGTGTTCCAAATGTTCTTTGTTCAATAGACTATACAGTTTTTGTGAAACTGATGGCCCAGTACTAATATTCTCAAAATTAGAATTAAGTAAATATTTTTTCTAATTCATTTATTCATTTATATAACAAGGCTTTTAATTTAAACCCCCTTTGCACAAGGGGCAATTTATTAATTTTGCCAAAGGCTGTTTTTAATAATTAAACGCTAACAACCTGCATCTATTTTAAGTTTTAATAAGTTAATAGTTTCTTTCTTTAAGTACCATTATAAGGTAAGGATAAAATATAGATTAATTAATTCAAAAAAAGATTATTTACACAAATAAAAAAATAGTAAGATTTCAGGACTTATCATTAACAATGGCAACGCTGGCCGTCTTCCGAAAACACGTTGAGGTGACAGTTAGCATGTTTACCTCCCACTCCAAATTTTTAGGCGGGATTCGTTTTGTCGCTTCTCTATACATACTTCATGTAATCCCTGTCAAATGACAGAAGAAACGATTTCGACAGACGATATCTGACAAAACTGACAGAAAACAATTATTTATCTTTGAATTAAAATGCTGTCAGTGCTGTCACTATGAGAATTCTATCATTGCACGGACTATACCTACATTGATGTAAATACATTGTACCATATAATGTATGGTACCATACATTCGAAAAAATAAACGGCGGCAAGTTGTCTTAGAACTGACGATTGATGACCTTATAAATTGACATATAAAATATCATCGGTTGTCAATTTTAAGACAAGTTCACACCGTTTTTCACACTAAATACCGATACTACGGCATATACCAGGTGTGTCTAGTGGCTCACACCCCATAACTTTTTTATCTTTTCAGACGAAAAAACGAGATTTGGTATGTTAGTATATGACATAAATTAGGATTGATTGACGTATTCAATTGTCTTTCGACACTTCCTGTTTCACCGGAAATGACTACAACTTTTTATTTTTAAATGGCACCCTCGGTATATTTCTACTTTGTTCAATAGAAAATGACTCTGAGGGTGCATCCATACTGCCCTAGAAACGGCGTATCAGCGTAACGGCGTAACGACCTTGAATAGATTTCCAGTAATTCTATCGGCTGAAATTTTTGACAGATGAATTTGACAGATAAAATTTCTGACAGATGAATGTTTCAGCCAATAGAATTACTGGAAATCTATTCAAGGTCATTACGCCGTTACGCCGATACGCCGTTTTTAGGATAGTGTGGCTGCACCACAGGGGAACTGTTTACATTTTATGCGAATGCCAACATCCTATTGTTATTGTTTGGTATGTTGCCCAGTATTTCTCCGCTTTTGTTTATTTTTAATTTTGTATACGTATACTTTGGGGAAATCTTAAGAAAATAATAATATAATTAGCTTACTACTTTTCAAAATTTCGACATTTATAATTTTATTTAGTACTTATTAAGATTCAGTCAAGATTACAAGAAAAATAAACTTGAAATATTTGTAAATTTCGTCATTTTTCATCAGCCGTTAGGATTAATTTTTAATCTGACAACGCCGCTCTGTTGTTATAGTATTTTCTATAGTAGGGGAATTGGACGCGGTCAACAGTGTCAATACTGTCGATAAACAGCTGATTGGCATGATCAGCTGTTTGCCGTGCTTTTATTTTTCCATATTTCTTAACTATTAATAAACTATTAATGTATAATTGTTTCATTTTATATAAAAGACCAAAATTAGCATTTAAAATGGGTCTACACTGGCAAAATGTGTGAGAATAAAAGAATTTAAACATCGTCATTTCAAAAGTAAGTACTGTTCTGTGGTAATACAACATCTCGTTTTATTTACCTAAAATATTTACCATATTTGTTAAAATTTGTTTATTTGTTTTATAATATAATTTTGTGAATATAATATATTATGTATATTATAAGAAGTAATGTTTATATTTTTGTTACAATATTGTCCGATTTAAAATCGTATATTTGTATTTAATTATGAATACAAATAATTTGTATGTTTACATAAATTATAATTGGTATGTTTACATTTGTAAAATAATGCCTATTTACGTTTTCTATTACTAAGATAAATATTTTATTTCAGATTTCTAAAAGATAGTGAGAGAAAAATTAAATGGTTTTCTCTGTTAGGATTTATTCATAGCATAATATTAAAAAGTCGAGCAAAAGAGAACTCAAGAACAGCTGATTTTTTTATAAGGAATTGAAGAAAATATTTAAAATCTGATGATTTTCACAGCCATTTATGTCGCGATTTGTGGTCTTTCAGTTGTTTCAACATCACCTAGGAAATTAACATTAAGATATCAGGATCCTGCATATAACGAGATAAGAACTATGATCTTGTTAGGATACCTATTCCGTCACAATATGTAAGTACATATATATTTACAGTTTAATTTTTTAATATAAAATATTACTATATACTAATATGTATACACAGATTCAAAGTGTACAGGGTGGTGCCTTTCATACGATATGAAGGTTTCAAGGATTTTTGTTGATGGAAGTTTGTATTGAAAGAACAAATGGAGGGTTTAGAAATCAATCAAGTCATACAAATTCACTTTCATCTCTCCCTACCCTATGTCCCATGAGAGGTGTCAATCCCACATGCATATAGATCTAGAGACATACATATACATAACACACATATACATATATACATACATACATACATACATATATACATACATATACACATATACATACATACATACATATATACACATACACATACACACATATACATATATATATATATACATATGAGAGACAGAGAGACATACACAAGATCCACCATCGAAAAAAACAGTGTTGGCTTGAAAGCAGACAGGGACCGAGAACAACTTATGGAATGATCACACCGGATGAGCCACACACACAGATGAGACACATATGGACTTGAGACACACATGAGATGGAAAGGAGACAACAGGAGGACCAGAGACACACGAAACTGGAATGAGAGTCTGAGGACACAGGAGGCATGGAGGACACATGAGAGACCGGACACACACAGTGGAAATACAAATGGAAACTACATGACTGAGGAATCACAGGAGACGAGACACGAGACTGACCACACAGCCGGATCACAGACACACACAGTGGCACACAAATATAAGGCATGAACAGAGACATGAGACACAATGACTTAGGACAGACCATCCCACACCGAGAATCACACAAGACACACAGGACTTGAACTACAGAATCACTGAGAGAGGACCAGACAGACAGACACACAGACACGAACACAGAGGCATAGATCCACATGACCACATGAGACACACATCGATCGAGACAGACACAGGATGAGACACACACATGAATGGAATGACACCACCGAGAAGACCATGGGACACTGATAAATGATGGAATGGACAGGACCACACAGGACCCCATAAACGAATCAGAGGTGACATGGACACAGTGGAAGGAACGGAACGCATGACACAGAGACACACATAGGAAAGGAAATGACTGGATGAGACAAATGACAGTGGATCGCCACACAGGACCCACACAGGAGGACCCACAGACCACGACATGAGCTGACACAGGAATGGAAATGAGACACGAGACACACACAGACAGAACGGATGGACACTGGACCAGAACACACAGGACACAGATGGAACGAGAGACGAGTAGTATAATAAACAAAATACACAGCATATAAAATACACAGAAAACGGTGTAAAATGACACCAGGAGTAATGGTGGAGGTGACTTGAAAGAATGAAGGTGGATGGAATGGAATGGACATGGAACAGCCTTGAGAAGAAGGAATAAATGACATTCTAGAAGGACTTGGCAATGAGACTTGACAGAGCCTGGATACTTGCCTTGCATGTATATATTCAATGGAATATAATGAGGATGGAGACGGAATTATCTTTAATAACTAAAAACTTAATAACAATTGGGGTATGATAGAAAAAAAAAAAGGCCTCCAGCTGGCTTAGAAATGAATATCGATGATATTCTATATAATTTTTACATATAAAATGACAGCGATCTTCATTTCATAGCCATCGCTGACGATGTTTTTTTTTTCTCGATTATATGGTATTTCGCTTATGAACATTTTTCGTAATTGTGGCATCTTTAATTTTTTTATATATCTTTTATTTTTAATTTTTTTATATATCTTTTTTTTTTTAATTTTTTTATATATTTTTTTTGAATATATATATTTTTTATATATATATTTTTTTATATATCTTTTTCAACAAATTAATCGCATTTGTATACTTGGTTTTAATAATTAAAAATTATGAGCAAAATATTCAATAAAACCAAACGTGACGAAACTAACTTAATGTAATTCATTACTTATAACGGTACATTCCAAAACTGTGTGATTTACTAATACATATTTCCAAAGATTTTTCTCTATTTTACCTTTCGGCACCGCACTGATGTAACATAGCCTTACTCACCTTCGAAATGAAACTTCTAGGTTTAAATCGTCTCTATTTTTGCAAATTAAGCAAGTTCGCACTATTGTCTTATTGTTTATCAATAAAATCACTAAAAACGATACCACAAAACACTAAAATATCTGCAAATCACCTCGTAAAACATTTCGAAAAACTACAACACATTGGCAACGCCGTAGAGCAATTTATGAACGAATTCGAACTGGATGTTTTGTTGGCTGCCTAAATTTAGGAGTGAAGATAGTAAAATGCGTACGTTTTCGGCATCAGCTGGCGTTGCGACGTTGTCGATTGTTTTATGTTAAATTTCTTAATTTCTAAAAATTATAATTACAGAAGATTTAAACCTTTACTTATTAACTTTACTACCTTTAATTATTATCAGTTTAAAATATTCTATGACGTAATCTATATTTGGAATTATGGAATTCCTGGTTTACAATGTGGGTTAGCTATCCCCGTACGTATACGTAGGTAAGATTTCATTTTAAATGCGGCCGGTAGTGGAAATTTGGCATACATGCAATTTTCTAAAGCAATGATGGATTTCGCCAAAATGTAAGTCGCCGGGTCTAATTTATTTCGATGTCATTGGGCTGCACCCTGAATGGAATGACATATATCATATGTCAACTTTTCACATTTTTGCATATGGTTTACTTGAAATTGTAACATGCGGTTCATAACGACAATTTGACTCGAAATACGAAGTGCGCGGGACCAAATTATTTGTAAAAAAATACTTTTTCCAAATATATGCTAATCAGCCACCCTTGATCCATTTGAAAAATTTAAATATGATTAAAAATATGATTTGTGCATCTTTTAACTGGCCAGAACAAGACATGAAAAACAATATATAATCAAACCTATTTTTCTAAGGCTTCTTGATTAAAAATTACTGTTTTTAACACAGTCATGGCACTCTCAATTAAAATTTAAAATACGATTTTTTAAGCGAAAATGTCAAAAGCTGACATGTGATATGTGATTGTATTCAGAGTGTCATTTTCTATCAAATAAACTATAAACATGCCGTGGGTGCCATTTAAAAACCAAAAGGTGTAGTCATTTCCGGTGAAACAGGAAGTGGCCAAAAACAATTGAATACAGAGTGTTTTACACAAGATTTTGATATTGCATTTTCAGAATAAACACTTAATATTTAGAAATTTCTTAAATAATAATATTTAAAAATAATTAAATACTTACAGGTCCTGAAGAATTTCTTGGCGACTCTGGAATTGATGCCTCACCTTAAAAAAAACAAACATAATAAACAATAAAATTAAATAAATTTTTTCATAATTTTTATTAATCAAAAGTAAACTTACCTGAGTCACACCTGGGAAGATTTTTCATTGAAAATGTAGAAATCAGTTCCTTCTCTGATATAAGCCTTTTGTGCTCAGCTGTAAATAATTAATTTCATAAACAATTCAACTACAAATTATATACTATCATACCTAGAAAGATCCTTTCATCAAAATCTCCCTGACTTAACAAATAGGTCTCGTATGTCTTTGTGACATTTCTAAAATTCTGATCGAAATTCTCCTGATCAAATATACCCGTAAAATCACCGTCATCCGCTAGAAGCATTCCATTGTCTATCGACTTATTCACAAGCTGTTTAAAAGTATAGACTTTCATGTGCAATGCGTCCTTCATTACCGAGTCATTACAAAAATGCTTTATTAAACAAGGCACTTCGCTTAGAGCTCTGTTATCAATAGAATGGGTTAAAAGTTCTTCTGTGACTGCTGTATTTAGTAAGTCTCTACGTTCCGATGCAACTATATTTTTAAAAGCCAAGTCTATACAACAGTATAAAAGGTGATGTGATTTTATCAATTCCGTACTACAAGAAGGTTCTTCTGCTTTCAATGTAATATACAGGTTCCAAATAAATTCAAAGATTTTGAAAGATGTACACGGAATAGATCTGAAATACATAGTAATTGGTGATGAATAAAACTGGTCTTGGTCTGGCACAAATAGCAAGACCATTATTATTATATATCCATTTATTACCTGTTTTTCCTATTTCTATGTTTCGAAGCCTCCATATCTATAGAATTGGGAACAGGCGATACAAAAATTTCCGTGAATAGCTTGTGAAACTTTTTAAAAGTATTATACGCTATACTAAACTTGCTTCGTAAATTGGAAACTTTATTTCGAAAATCATCAGGTAGTTGAGCCATTTCAGCCCATCGTGTAATATTTGTGAAGAATTGTGAAAAACTAAAAAACACAGAACGTAACACACATATAACTAATTACTCTACCGACTCGTTTACCTTAAATTGCTGTATCTTAGTAATGTTGTGAGGTTTATTCCCATTCCTTTTACCACCCCAGAAGTATCCACTGTGGGCGTTTCTACCTCTCGTGAGGCTACATATATTGAACATCCCAGCCATTGCAATTTGTCTCCCTAAAATCCAAGAAACTTCAAAATAAGGGTATGCCGAAATGAGATATCAATGACAACTACCTCTTGAAACATAACACTAATTGGTCTCAGTAATGTTTTATATATATCAATGTTAATAATTATGAATGAACATACCTCTAAAATACATTTCTTCTTAATGCTCTCAAAAGTCTCCCATGAAGTTGAGACTATGTTAGAGTCCAAATTAAGTTTAGCGCATAAATCTACATGGATTTTATATAATTCATCGTCTCTAGATTCGGAAAGAACCATATCTGCTGTTTTCTTAGTCCCTGCAGATGGTTTAGAACAAAATTAAGAAATAAATGATTGCACTGAGAGTCTCCTGTCTACGCCCACAAAACGCGGGAGTTTGCACCTGTTATTTACTCCATTTCGCACACTTTTCCGAAAAAATTGGCGCGAAAATTTTCTCATATATTTGGAAGATGCAATAATATACGTTTCAGAATTTATTTATAAAAATTCGCGGGTTTATTTTTTACAAATGTATGCTTACTTTTCTCACTGATTATCAGCTGTCATAACATAACCTATTTTTCGATTAATTTGTTGTTAAATTTTTGGAATCAATATGTGTAATGATCTCATTCCACAAAGTAACTTATATATAGTATAAAATATCTTCAATGTTTTATATAATTTTAGTATCATAATAGAGCAGAAAAATCTTGAGAATATTATTTTGGCGGGAAAAAAGCCACAGTCGTTTAAAAATTGTATTATTCAATGGGTAGTAAACAACATTTAATACACGTGCTAATTGGTTTATTTGCTATCACGTGACGGAACTGTTCTACTCCATCATTGAACGGAATAATAAAACACGCCTTTTTTTTCTAGGTGTATAACTGGTTGCAGGTATATTTATATTATTAAAAATAATAATGGCATACCAATTTTTTTGAAATTTCTTTTCAATTTCTCATTATTATTTAGAACTTACGAATTAGCAAACATTTATCAAAATATTAATATACAATTTACATATCACAAAAAAGTTCTGAAGCTATCAGTAACGATAACTTCAAGGATAAAAACAGGAAATAGAGTTCAGATTAACTTATGACAGTTTATATGAATTATAAATGATTAAAAATGTAATTATTAATGCTATTTTATTCAGTATTAAGTGATCAGTTTAAATAACAATGAAGTGCATATTATTAGTATTAATTACTATAAATTTTCAGAGTTTATGCAAAGCGGTTTATTATCAGTCAAATTCAACAGGTAGGTAACGCATAATAACGTTAATTTTTTTAAAATTTGGTAATAATTATAGAATCTTTTTTCAGATTTAACAAAATGTAGTACAATATCTTACTCTAGAACGGGCAGTAATTATAAAGAATTTTACCCCATCTCTGTGAAGAATAATCCTGAAAATGGTTCTTTGATTTTCGACTTTCATTTTGCAGTTTTAGCGACTAGCGATGCTCATATTTTGTTAGCGCCTTCGGGTAAGTAGACAGGGTGTTTTAAAATTAATGCGAAAATCTTTAAGGTGTGATTTGTAGATAAGGGTAATAAGTAAAATAAAGGGTAGTAAGAAATAAATCGTAAATCATACCATAACGAGATTTTTTTAGAAAAAAATCTAGTGGGCTGCTGTCACTATTTATTGAGCGTTTCTAGTATCGCTTTGTTTGATATATTTAGTTGTTTTAGAATAATAATCCAGAATAATCTGTGGCTTATATAACAATATTTTATGATTAACTTAATTGAAAATTTCTTTTTATAACTGATTTAAAGAACGATTTCCCTATAGGTTGTGCGATATTAATACATTTGAGATAGGTGAGTTTAAAACATGTTTGTTAATTATTTTTAAAAGATAATGGTTTAGAAGAAAATGTAGCATTATTACAAAATTAAAACTATTTTGCCGGGTCCAAACCAAGCAGACAAAACTACGACAAGACAGAAACATTCATGTTTTACGACAAAATTGCGACAAATCCAATAGATTTCTGCGACATTTTTCTCATTTTTGTTTTGTTTCAAAATTCGGAGACTTATTCTACTAATTAAAATACAATTTGATCGAAAAAAAAACTGTCAGCGATGGCTATGACATGAAGAACGCTGTCGGTTCCATGCTAACTGGACGCCGTTTTTTTTCGATTATACGATACTTTCTTCTTAAGTTTCTCTGTTTAGATACACTTAGTTATTGAAATAGTAAGTCAAGTCATTATAATTATTATAGAAATAAAGATGTCTAATATTGATACGGTCACCATAAATGTTGATACCTACCTATAGGTAATTAATTACTTAACAATTTATACAACAAAGTTATTGAATAGGTGCTTCCATATCTCTCTTTGGTCCGTTTCCCTGAAGAGGGATTAGTGACTATGATGTTCCTGTAGCGGTTTTTTTTTCGTATTGTGCCAGTCCGCTCTGTTTTGAGCCATGCTGACGGTTTCATGAAGGCCTTGGCCGATTAGGTCTTTAGTTTGATCAACCCATCTCTTGGGTGATCTTCCTCGTGGTCGCTTTCCCTCTACCTTTCCCTCGACTATTAGCAGCTGCAGTGAGTCCGTTCTTCTAGCAATGTGACCAATATATGTCAGAAAACATCGGTTTATTTTTTTTGAGAGGCTGAGTTGTGAGTTTAGTTCTTGGAGAACTGACTCATTCGTACGATTGGCTGTCCAAGGTATACGTAGCAGACGTCTATATGCCCACATTTCAAAAGCATCTATTTGCCTGGTATCGCTTTTCTTCAGCGTCCATGTTTCCGCCCCATACGTAGCAATCGGGAAAACAAGCGAGTTCAGCAGTCTTAGTTTGGTGTTCTTAGTGATGGCTGTATCTTTCCATATCTTAGTTAATTTAGTTACGGCTGTTCTAGCCAGCGCAATTCTACGTCTTATTTCGCCTTCGCATGAGCCGCTGTTGTCGATTAGCGATCCCAAATATAAGTATTTATTAACCACCTTAAATCCAGCTATGTTTCCCACGTGAGGTTGGTTGTTGTTTTGTCGGTCCACAATCATGACAGTAGTTTTGTTAGGATTAAGTTTTAGCCCAAATTCTGTACTAGTTTCTTGGAGACGTTGCATAATAAATTCCATTTCTTCCACACTTGCTGTTATGATTAGTGTATCGTCGGCATATCTTAGATTATTGAGTTTCCTTCCCCCCACAGATACTCCACCTTGCCAGTTATCGAGAATATCACGCATTATGTACTCGGTATAAATATTGAACAATAGGTTATAGGGGTGAGAGAACACTGCTTGAAATCTATTTGATGTGACATCATTAATTCTTATGAGTCCGTAATTATGTTGGTATAGTTGTCGGATAGGTAAGTAGAATAAGGTGATCAGGAACCCCCATTTCCTTGAGTATTTGCCAAAGTTTTTGCCACTTGACTAGATCAACCACCAGATTTACCACTTGACTAGATCCATATAGACACTAAAAATGACTGACTTGGTTTTACATGAGATTTCAAACTTTTTGTATAGTGGAAGCCGGTGTGAGACTAGACATTTTTTTACATTATATGTTTTTAATGGGATAAAAATATATTAAAATTAAAAAAGTTTACTGATTGCAAATTTATTTCCAGATAATATTACTAAACAGGATCCTGTTTACGAGCTGGTTATCGGGGCTGGTGGAAATACTTTCTCTGATATAAGAAGAATGCAGAAATCCGATGTTAAAGCATCCGTGCGGATAAAAAATTTGTTATCCGCTCTTGATCCACATTTCTTCTGGATTCATATGACGAAAAGTAAGTAAAATTAAGTTTATATATTCACTTTAAAAATTGAAATTTAAGAATTATTATATAAAATAGCCTAGAATTATTTTTCAAAAAGTTAACAAATAAGGGAGTGGGGAGGCGTTGATTTTTCAACCAGTGACTGTTAAAGCAAATAAATAATATTTAATGATCTAATGTATATGTATATGTCGCACCCACTTAGTGTAATTGTCCGTTTCATGAAATGGATATCCACTTCGCGAACTGAAACTAACCAGTTCACGAACCTAACCTAACCTAACCTAACCAGTTCCCCAAGTGGATATCCATTTCATGAAACGGACAATTTCACTAAGTCGATGCGACATATACCGGTTTTTTTTTCAGATAAAACAACGAGATTTGGTATGTTAGTATATGACATAAATTGGGATTGATTGACGTATTCAATTGTTTTCGGTCACTTTAAAGAAATTACTACAACTTTTGATTTTTAAATGGCACTTTCGGTATTTTTTTACTTTATTCGATAGAAAATGACACTCTGAATCGAATGACATATCATATATCAATATTTGACATAGTCACTCAAAAACAAATTCTATTTTAAATTTCAATCTAGAGTGCCATGGCTATGTTAAAAACATTAATTTTTAATCAAGGAGCCTTAATAGATAATAGATTAGGAAAAATAGATTTGATCGTCTAATGTTTTTAGTGTCTTGTCCTGATCGGTTAAAAGATGCCCAAATCGTATTTTTAATCATATCTCAATTTTTTCAAATGGAACGAGGGTGGTTGATTAGCATATTTGGAAAAAGCATTTTTTTACGAATAATTTGATACTACACACTTGATATTTTGAGTGAAATTGTCATTATGAACCGCATGTTTCAATTTCAAATAAACCATATGCCAAAATGTCAAAAGTTGACATATGATATGTCATTCATCGATTCAGAGTGTCATTTTCTATCGAATAAAGTAAAAAAATACCGAGGGTGCTATTTAAAAATCAAAAGTTGTAGTCATTTCCGGTGAAACCGGAAGTGACCGAAAACAATTGTATACGTCAATCAATCCCGATTTATGTCATATAATAAAATACCAAATATAGTTGTTTTATCTGAAGAAATAAAAAAGTTATAAGGGTGAGCCACTTTTGAGACGCACCCGGTATAATGCATAAACTGTATGTATCATCCAATTTTGTAAGAAAAAAGAGTAAGTTCATTTTGATTACTACTTTTTAGCTCTCTACTCAAAAATATGCCCATATCAAGTAAATCAAATTTTGTTTTTCGAGAAACTCGCAACCTATGAGAAATGATCGAAAATATACAGGATATGTTATTGATTTTGGAAAATATCATCCGAGCCGTAAATTTGCTGCACTAAATAAAAAGAAATAAAAGTCACAGATACATTTGTTTCTATATTTTTAAACTTTTATCGCACAATATTTGCATAGAAAATACTTTTTTTAGACGACAATTATTACCTATATGATATACAGCGAACTCTGTATCACCAATGCTCACTGGTCGAATATTCAACCGCTTACGTTAACTTTTCGCGCCAATTCGACCAGCGTATAGATATGGTTGATTAAATATGGCCAAGGCGCGCATAGAAATAAGCATAGCAAACTGGGCGATAATACACTTCCAACCGACTGATTAGTTGGTTAAATTAAGGACCTTTATTATAATAGGAGAATAGTCAATTCTGGTAATGTTGCTAAAGAAACATGGTCTATTGTGAATGAATTGAGAAACAAAGCTTCGTCGTCTAGCAATATCTCTACCTCACCTGAGAACCTTAACGATTACTTTGTAAATGTAGCAAAAAACTTAACTAATACTATATGTCCTCCTCATGATCCACTTTCTTATCTCTCTAATGATAATGTAAACTTACACAGTTTCTTTTTTTCGCCCGTAGTTTTAGAAGAGCTTCGCAGTACCATTAATACCATCAAAAATAAATCCTCTTCTGGGACCGACGGGCTAACTTTAAAAATGTTTTCGAATCTGCCAGAAAGCACTCTGAATCACCTAACAACTTTAATAAACTGTCGTTCCAAAATGGTATTTTTCCAAAATGTCTTAGGACGGCAATAATCATTCATCTGCATAAAGGAGGAGACAAAGATGAAGCTTCTAACTATCGCCCAATTGCACTCCTTCCAACGCTATCTAAGATCATAGAAAGGTTGGTTAAAAGAAGGCTGGTATCTTTTCTGTTTAAGTACAAAATACTTACTGAATATCAATTTGGATTTCTAAGCAACAAGTCCACAAATGACGCTATGTTTTCCCTCCTTAATAAAGTTTACTCCAGCCCCTCCAGCCTAAACAACCATCATTCTACAGCAACAATTTTCTGTGATTTTTCTAAGGCGTTCGATTGTGTAAATCATAAGATCCTAATTAATAAACTGCAGCACTATGGGTTCAGAGGATCATCTCTCGAATGGTTTAAGTCGTATCTGAGCAACAGAAGTCAACTTGTGAGGGTGGATACCACGTTGTCTTCTAGCAAGCCAATAGAATGTGGAGTACCACAAGGCTCAGTACTAGGCCCAATTTTGTTTCTTCTTTTTATTAACGACATTGCTAACATAAACATCAGTGGCAAAATATGTCTTTTTGTGGACGACACTAGCTTCACTTGGAGCAACAAGGACATCACGGCACTTCATTGGATTATATCAAATGACTTAATCACCATTAAATCTTGGTGAGTCTCAACATTTCTAAAACTAAAGCTTTGTCGTATAAAAACTCGTTGCAGCGTTTTGTACTTAACAACACCACCATTGACGCCGTAAAATCTGTAAAATTCTTAGGGCTTGTTGTGGACAATTTTCTGAAATGGGACATACATATCGAAGCTTTGTCGAAAAAAAAGCTCTGCCTGTTTTGCATTAAGGTCTGTTTTTAAGGAGCTTAACTTGTCAGTGGCTAGAACTGTTTATTATGCACTTTTTGAGTCGCACCTCAGGTATGCCCTTCCATTCTGGGGTACGTGTTGTGTGACTCAATTTGACCCCATTTTCAAGCTCCAGAAGAGAGCTGTTCGATATTCACTGGGACTGAACAGCAGAACTCATTGCCGGGACTTTTTTAAAGAATTAAAAATATTGACTCTTCCTTCCTTATTTATATTTGAATCCGTTTGCCTAATACGTAAACATGTATCAGCTTCTCAAGAAAGGCCATCTCACACTTATCCACTCAGGAACGCGGAGCAAGATCTTTATCTACCTACCCCACGCTCAGAGTTAGTTAAAAGTTCAATATTATACAACTCGAAAAAAATGCACAATCACCTGCCATTTGAAATCAAATCCACAACATCATTTTTTTCATTTCGCAGAGCATTGAACTCTTATTTACTAGACAAGGCTTTCTACGCCGTAAATGAATTATATTTTGAAAGTCAAATTTGATCTTGTAAACACTGGTCTAATGTTTGCTATTGCTATATTTACTAATGACATCGAAATGAATTTATTTAGAGGTCATTGATATTTTACTATAAACTAGCTAAATATTTTTGAATATTATTTTTATTTTTTTGTTCTTTGGCATTGTAAACATTTATAAATGTTTATTTTAACAATAAATATTTTGTTTGTGTACTTTGTTTTTTACTTTGTTTGTTAGTTTACCTTTGTCTACAAATTGAAAAATTTTTTGACAATAAAGGCATTTATTTATTTATTTAAAGTGGTCGATTTAGCGACCGTCAACCTATAAAGGGTTAAGAAAGTTATGAACCTAAAAATTTATAAAAAAGTTTAGGGTTAAAGTTAAAAAATTACTTTAATTAGGTACCTATTTAATAGTTATTTTTCTGTTGCTATAGTTGGAACGGAAGGTCTACTAGAGGTAGGAAGAGAAGGAGATAACACTTCTTTCATTTCCTGGCAGGACCCCGACCCTTTACCGATTAAAGTTATCAGCTTCAGTACGTGGTCTGGCATTGAAGCTAAATGGTATTTTGATTGCGACAGATCTGGAAACGAGGAGGTAAGTGACTACTAAAATACAGGGTATTTCAAATTCAACCCCCACCGTTGGGCTCTCGAAAACTATAGGAAATATGAAGATGGTTAGATTAGAGTAAAATAATATGCCATTTAGAAACGTTCAAAATTCCGAATACTTAATTCCAGAAATTTTCGATTTCCAGAAAATTGAAGTCAATTAATTAAAATGTCACGGAAATGTATTTTTCACTCTATAGTCTTATACAGATACGGACGAAAAGTTATTACTCTTCAAAACACATGTAGGTCGCGCCCCCTACAAATAGGAGTCATATTGACATCAAAATCAAATTTCTCATGTTAAAAAACTCCCAGACACCAATTTTCATCCAAATATTGACGTTATTTCAGAAATTATTTGGAAAAAATCGAATTAAAAATGAAACTTCTACACCCTGTATCTCCGAAATTAAGCATTTTAGGACATATATTCATATAAGTTTCCGGAATACAGTTCGGACCACCCTGTGTATAGATTTTCTTAATCTGTATCAATTACTACTGAGAGGAAAGGTTTGGCGAAATTTTAATTTATGCTAAATTTTGATTTCAGGAAATACAGAAAAGTTTAACACCATTGGAAAAATTGAGGCGAATCATGTTGGCACAGTATGATCCTATGGTCAGACCTGTTCTAGATCAAGGGACTTTTACTATGCTTCCAATATGGTTGAATTTAAAGTACTTGGAACTGGTATGTGTTGGAAATCAACTATAATATAATTTACATAAGACTTTTTAAGCTGTTTTTTTAAAGCTGTTTTTTTTTCATAATCAGTTCATTTGTTTATATCTAAGAGTAGATATATAAATAGTACGTATATAAAGATCATATAGAATAATAAGTTATAGACATTTTTTATATAGATTTCATGTACTTGTTTCATTCCAGGATGAACACAAATCAACGCTATACTTGATGGGGACTGCAACTTTAGTAAGCCCACTATATTATTATATGTATATTATTATACTTATATGTTACTGTAAAAGACAATTGCAAACAATAAAAGTTCACATTCACTGATTTGCTACTATGCCAGTAAAAGGGATGAAATTGATTTTGAAACTATTGTACAGGGTGGCGCCTTTCATACGCCGCGGAAGCTCCAAGGAGAACGGTAGTTTATATCGAAATAAAATTTTGACAGCGTATGTAGGTTAATTGAAGCCATTTTATATAAATATATAGAATTATACAGGGTGTCCCCAAAAAAAGTTACACATCAAAGTTGTGTTTTTTTCTAATGGAACACCCTATATATTAATTGATTTTCGGATTCGGGGAAAAAAATAAAGGTGAGTTTTATTAAAGAAGCATATACCTAATATCTAAGGATTTTGACATATTTCACATTTTGTGAAAACGAAGAGTAAATTTTAAATTTCGATAACAGCTATCTAAATTTTAGTTGACCTTGTATAGCCTGATATTTAATTGAAATTTGACCCGAAAAGTTATACAGGGTGAGACAAAATTAATATGGAACATTAGACACTTTTAAAAGCAAGTTACTCCTTTATTTTAAATGCAACACCCAGTATATTATTCCGGTGTTCAATGGGGAATTTATATATCTTCAAAATATTATTAAGGTTACCTACCCCTCAGACAAAGATTTTCCTAGATATTTTAATTTTTATGATTTTGCGTCAGTAGATCTTTATTATTTGAAAAAATCTAAGGTGGTTGTGATAAACCTTTTGTTAATTTAACAAAGATTGTAGAGTAAAATACTCAACGGTAATAAAAAGATACACGTTTAAAACATATTTTAATTATTACACAATTAAAACTAGATATAAATCTATAATTATGTGACAAAAATTAGCTAGATGAAAGCTGCATAAAATGATTGATTTTCAAAAGGATCTTTTTATTTTAAAGGTCATATGTGGAGTTCTACTTCGAAAAGCAGCTACAGTCATTTCTCTCCTCTTGTTGACAATAGTTGCTTCAGTTTTGTAAACACTGTCTTTAACATATCCCCATAAAAAAGCCCAGACTAGATAAAATAAGGAGCATTTAAGTATTCTATTAATTGGTGAATGCACACTGCATTCACCAACTAATAGAATTATATCATCTCTCTGATGTAGGATAAGTTTGCATTTTCGGCAAATTTCTGATTTTTTTTTGTTTTAACTGACACAAAATGATAACTAGTCGTTAAAGTTGGACTAATTAGACAGATTTTATCAAATAATAAAGATCTACTCAGATCAAATCATATAAATGAAAATATCTAGGACAATCTTTTGTTTGAGGGGTAGGCAACCTTAATAGTATTTTGAAGAGACATGAATTCTCCATTGAAAATCGGAATAATATACTGGATATGTTCCATTCAAAATAAAAGAGTAACATGCTTTTAAAGGTGACCAATGTTCAATGTTAATTTTGTCTCACCCTGTATAACTTTTTGGATCAATTTTTAATTTAATTAAAAGTACAATAGTTAATTTAACTATTTATTAGGCTATACCGGGTAAATTCCAATTTAGGTAGGTTTTATTGTAATTTAAAAATTGTTCTTTATTTCTAGAAAATGTTAAATATGTCAAAAACCATACATCCAGAATCCGAAAATCAATTAATATATAGGGTGTTCCGTTACAAAAAACACAACTTTGATATGTAAATTTCTGGGGGACACTCTGTAGAAGTTTCTATATTTTTAAAAAGTACTCTGAATTAACCTACATATGCTCACAAAATTTCATTTAAATACAAACTGTAGTTCTCCTTGGAGCTTCCGCGGCGTATGAGAGGCGTCACCCTGTATAATAGAATGAATTTTACTGACAAATTTTAGTAAATGTTACACTCATTAGAGACTTCTAACAATTGCTAGTGAAATTCGACAAATTTCTTTAAAAATACGACATTCTCTGATCCAATGCGTAATAGTTTCCTAGTGATTGTTAACATATTTACTAGATTTCAGACCTTTACTGTAACAAATTCCTAATAAAATTAATTTGGGACCAATGTCAAACACTATCAAAAAAATATTTTAATTTTTTTAGAAATGGCGTGATGAAAAATTGGATTGGGACCCTAAATTGTATGGAGATATTCAAACGATGCATATATTTAAAAATGAGATATGGCAACCTAAATTATTGTGTTCTAGGTAGGTTGAATGTTTGATAGAAACAACAATAAAAAAGGGTATAATAACTGATAAGAGAAAATTATCTTTTGCAAACAGAAAAGACTCTTCACATTGTCACAATTTCGGTACATAAAAAATATCATAGTAACTGTTTTTATGGGATTCTACTATTTATAATATTTATATTGAAGAAAAGCGTTTATAACATTCCTATAAGAAATGAAATACTCTAGTTTGCTGCTTACTTTTGTTGCATTTTATAATAAAATATATGCGACCACATTCCACAATTCAATTTCTTACTGTAAACTTTTCCTGCGTTACTTTTGGAGATTTAAAACGTGCTTTTAGACTTTTCTAAATTCTGGCAGCGTACTCGAGCAAAACTTTGATTTTTGTAAGTGGGGAATAATAGAACTTCTGAGGCTTTCATGTGCACTCGAAAAATGGATATACCGTATGAGTTTTTTTTCCAGAAAAATAAAGCATATTTTGATTTTACAGGATCCTGCAACAATGCTTCGGGCAATCCTGGTTTCTATAATTTTTGATCATGGGAATATCGTTTAAGTTCAGAGCGAAACTTTGTACTATTGACTATACTCATTGTCATATTTCAGGAAAATAAATACGTATACAGTTCATACCAAATAAACTTTTAGTGACGTGTTTAAAACTTGACCGGCACAGCGTTGCCCACTTTTATATCTTTTAATCAAAATATTTTAGAAAACAAAAATAAATTTTATAAATATACAGGGTTGTTCACCACATACGACACGGAGTATTGTAGCTAAACGATTAGATTTTTACAAATTGTAAGTTTTGGGTTCATTGAAGGACTATTAGAGCTACAATTTAAAAATATTTTTACAAGATACAGAGTGTCCCAAATAAATAAGAAATATCAAAGTTGTGTTTTTTTAAAGGGAACACCCTATATATTACTGCATTTTTAGTTTCTACGATTAAAATAAAAGTAAATTTGATTAAGGTTTATTACACTTAAACCTTACCGTTTTTTAAATATTTTCAATTTTGTTAAATTGCAATATAAATTTTAAGGCTTCATTTCTCCGAGGGTATCAAAGTTTTTAATACTAAATATTTACTGAAGTTTATTTATTGATCAGTTATTGTGTTGCAATAATAAAAATTGTACTATCTTATACAGAGTGTCTAAAAATTAATTTTAAATAATTACTAGCTTTAAACGGCAATAACTTGTTTAATTTAAATGGAATACCCTATATATTTTATGAGAATCAGATGCACAACAATTTTAATTGTCTATCAAATTGTATTATGCCACTTTTTACCTATCTTTTTAAGTTTTCGTAGAAATGCATTTTCTTATAATTTAGACCTCATTTATCAATATACCCATGGAATATTGACATTTTAGATTGTTTTTAAAACAACAAATATACAAAATGTACAGGCTAGTAATATTATCGTTTTTAGGTAAAAACGATAATATTACTAGCCCATTTGTATGCAAAAAGAAAACTATTTAAATCTTTATAAAAGAGTATACCATTAATTAAATATACCACCTGTATTTCCGCCCAAATACTAATTAATTACATACTTAATTGTGTTCGTTAATAAATTATTCTAAATAAATATGGATTTGAATCAGAAATGAATATAATAATAAGTTATGAAAATGAACGTCTCTGTTGTTATAAATAAGCATTTGTCGAAAAATGAAATATCATTTTTAAGGTGTTAGTTTTTTTACCACACTGTCTAATACACATAAATAATTCAGTTTTTTAGTATTTGAAGCAATTATTATTAATCAACGCAAAGAGTCAATTAATGTAGTTTGAATACTGGAATCATATTAACTAGAGATGAGCAGAAAATCGCAAACTGCGATTTAATCGCAGCGATTGTGAATTCGCAATCGCAACCTGTGATTCCTTTCCATAACAAACTGCGACTTGCGATTGAAACATATATCTGCCGATTTTGGATTTTTAGGCAACCAATATTACACCAGTTGCGATTTGCAATCGCGGTGGGCACGCGAACGAAGAGCTGCGAACGAAAATCACAGCATTGCGATTTTCGTTTGCACCGGCGGTGCATCGACACGGCACTGAGAAGCCGAACGATGAGCTGGGAACGAAAATCGCAATATTGCGATTCTCGTTCGCAACGGGCGGGCGGCGGCGCGTCTTCGACACGGCAGTGGCAGGCGAACGAGGAGCTGAACGAAAATAACAGCTCATCGCAGCATTGCGATTGCGACTTTCATTGGCACCGGCGTGGCGTGGCGCGGCATCGGAAGTTGGCACGTCAACGAAGAGCGGCGATTGTGATTTTCGTTCGCAGCTCCCAACACATCGGCCTAGACTAGATCGCAAAATCACATTCGCCATCAGGGCCCCGTTATTTTTATGAAGCGTTGGAAAATAGGCTTATATATGTTTATATACCGCATAATATATATGTATAATTTTTTAGTTTTAAATTTTGATAATAGTTTTAGATTTATAATATAATTATGGATTTAGAAGGTTAAAAATTCTTGTTTTCGGTTATGACTAATTATAGTTACAGTTGCTCCCAGGTAATGATTCAGATAAAATAATTCATTCAAGGACAGTTTTGGATTCAAATTATAAAAAATGATCTATTTTTATCCTTTATTTACTAGAAGATATAGAGCACGAAAAAGAAACAGCCCTTTCTCTTTATTATATTTTGTTATATGTATATTATATTATTATAAACATTTTTATAACAATCCATAATATAATATAATTTTCTGAATATACTAACTGTTGTGGATCGGCTGCTATGTTAATTTAAATACATCCTTTACAATCAGTTTTTCATTTTAGAGAAATTTCAAATATAATAAAATGTGATATTGTCCTTTTATTTATCTAAAAGTTCGAAAGTTTGCACTTGCACTGGACGGGCCGTATCAAAGCCGTCGGCGTCGGCTTCTTTTGAGTTACATATAAAGAAAATGCTTTTAAAAGAAATAAAAAGATAAATTTTTTCTCGTTATCTGAATTAAGGTTGGCGGCAACCTTTTTTATAATAAATTTTTCGTTAGTATACCTACAGACTGTCTAAAAGCACATTCGAATATTTTGAACATTTTATGTATTTTTTCCCTGTTAAATTTATTCGGTCTATTCTTATCAAAAATGTTTAAAAAGGAAACTAAGTTATTTGTGGTTTGGTTTGGTTTGATTTTTTTGGTAATTGATGAAAATTTTAAGTGCAATATGTGTGCAGAGCAAAAATATAATAAAAACACTTTAAAAGGCATATGGCATCGAAACACCCAACAGTTTCTTTGTAAGATTTTATTAAAAAAAAAAGTATTCCCCTATTTATTCTGTTTTTTCTCAAAAATTTTGGGATTGAGCTTCCCAGTTTACAGCGTACCAATTTAAAAATATCAAAATCGCAATTGCAGGTTACAGTCGCAGCGATTTACAAATCACAATCGCAGTTTCAACTGCGATTGGAAAATCGCAGTTTTGCTCATCTCTAATATTAACTGGTCCTCTTTAACAAATATTTAAACAGTTTTTTTTTAATTTTTTTAGTGAAATAAACGAACTATATTGACAATATTAGTATCTGTACTCTTTAAAAATTTGGTACATCTTTAAAAATAATCTAAAATGTCAGTATTCCATGGGTATATTGATAAATTACTACTAAATTACAAGAAAATGCAATTTCTACGGAAGCTTGAAGAGATAGATAAAAATGGTATAATACAATTTGATAGACAATTAAATTGTACATCTGATTCTTATAAAATATACAGGGTGTTCTATTTAAATTAAACAAGTTATTGCCGTTTAAAGCTAATAATTATTTAAAATAAATATTTAGACACTCTGTATAAGGTAGTAAAATTTTTATTATTGCAACACAATAACTGATCAATAAATAAACTCCAGTAAATATTTAGTATTAAAAACTTTGATACCCTCAGAGAAATGAAGCCTTAAAATTTATACTGCAATTTCACAAAATTGAAAATATTTCAAAAACGGTAAGGTTAAGTGATAAGTAATAAACTTTAATCAAATTTACCTTTGTTTTAATCGTAGAAACTAAAAATGTAATAATATACAGGGTGTTCCATTTAATAAAATACAACTTTGATATTTTTTATTTATTTGGGACACTCTGTAACTTGTAAAAATATTTTTAAATTGTAGCTCTAATAGGCCTTCACCGAACCCAAAACTTACAATTTGTAAAAATCTAATCGTTTAGCTACAATATTCCGTGTCGTATGTGGTGAACAACCCTGTATAAACCGTTTTTATTTACATCAACAAAACTCACCTTCTTAACATCACTTAAGGGCCATTACTACCGCTTTCCCGTTCAAAATATTTTAATAAAGTTGCGATGAGTTTTTTACGGCTATTATGCTATCTTGTACACTTTGCACTAAAAGAGGTTCTAAAAAGAACAATGTTCGACTGCAAGGTCTGCTATTAAACATTTTTAAGTTTAAAGTATCACAACACTATTTATTTAAACCAAAAACTCGTAATACTTACAAAACTAAAGTGTCAAAACGAATGACAATGTCAGGAAATATATAAATAAATGCGGCAACTTGACATTTTTTTCAGCAGAGCTACCACCTGAATTCCCAGCGCGAAATTTAAATTCCAGATAGTCAGCAAGCCGTCGAATATGTTCATGGCTGGCAACAATGAATTTAAAAATTGCGCCCTCGATTACGTAACTAAAAGTTTCCACTAAAAGTTTAGTTTTACTAGTTAGTTTTAACTAAAAGTCCACCTTTTTTTATTTATTTGTAATTTATTTAAACAGAAAAATAAAATACAAATAATTAAATAATTATTTGAAATTTATTTAAATAGAAAACAATCAAAATCGTAATCAATTTTTGATAGTTATTAATTTTTGTTTTAGTGCTGTTTCAAATCCCTACGCCATATTTGAAGATTCCATGATGGTGGTAAATCATACAGGCATGGTTACGTGGAGGCCAGCATTTCATTTGGAAACATTTTGTAACGCTGTGAACTTGGGCGACTGGCCTAGAGATACTCATACATGCAATGTATCTTTTGAAATTTTTCACGATCAAAATGTTCTAGTAATTTTTGACGAAAACGGTAGTTCATTGGTAGGTATTGTATTGATATGTATTGTAATGATATTATAGGTAGTGTTGCGGGCCGGTGTGGACTCGACCTAACCTCACAATATGGCCCGCCCTCGGATGACCTTAACATCGCATAGACACCGCAATGATTCATTCGTTCGAGAAGAATCGAGTCCCACTGGAATGGACGAGTACATACGAGAACATTCGAAAACCTTCTCTACGCACCTAACGATCTATGGACAATTCTAGAGTTCTTTACCTGCCGGTATAAAAGCCGGCGGCCGTGGCCTACAGGGGGCAGTTATAAATATACAGTTGACGCGCTAAAATTCAAAATAAATTCTTAGTTATAAATCGTTTGTAAATAGTTCTATAAGTCTTTTATCGTTATTATTTTTGTTAATTAGTGTTAAATAAATAGTGTTTAAATAAATTGTGACTTTCTATCCACACGGAACCGACGAAAAACGTAACAATTGGTGTCAAGTGTGGCGTGTGTGATAGACTAGAAAAATAAAAAGACTAACAATGGCTCCGAAGAAATTGTTGAAAGACTTGAAAGTGTCCGAACTGAAATCCATATTGGAAGAGAGAGAGTGCGAGACAGATGGAAAGAAAAGCATTTTGCAAACCAGACTGAGAGAGACGTTTTGAGGGAGGAAGGCGAGGATCCGGACACATTTTGCTTTGAGTTCGAAGGTGACCTTGACTCGTGCCTACAAAAAATTAGAAGCTAAAATGACGGAAAACTCTCAAAAATTAGAAGACAGTTTGAATGACAAAATTACAGAAAATTCCCGGGAATTGCAAGACAATTTAAACGGCAATTTGAATAATTTAGAAGATAAAATGATGAAAAATTCCCAGGATTTAATTAATATTTTAGAAGATAAGATCGCAGAAAATTCTAAAGACATACAGGCCAGCTTTAATAATAAAATACTTAATTTAGAAGAAAAGATAACAGAAAATTCCAGGGAATTAGAAGAAAAGATTATAGAGAATTCTACGGAGCTACAAGACAAAATAACACAAATTGAGGACGATGTAAATAAAAAAATCGAAATTCTAAAACAAGAAATAGAAAAGGCCAATTCACCAAAATGTCAAGAAACATCGGAGGCACCGAAACTAGTCGAAAATAAGTATATCTCAAAGTCAGTTATTAAGCCTCCACAGTTTGACGGAAAACCGCTTGGGCCAATTATTTTTGCCAGTTTGAGGCCGCTGCGAGAGCGAACGGATGGACAATCGCTGAAAAGGCTACCGCTTTGACTGTCGCACTGCGAGATGCGACTGATATCCTGCAGACATTGTCACCATCGGAACAGGGAGATTATCAGCAATTGGTACGACATTTAGAAATGAGGTACGGCCAAGCTCATTTGGAACATGTCTATCATTCCCAGCTAAAAAATCGCATTCAAAAAAGTCAAATGAGTCTCTGCAGGAGTTTGAAGCCGACGTAGCCCGCCTCGTTCGCCTTGCGTACCCTGCTACGCCAGAGAATGTTATGGAGCGGTTGGCAGTACAGGCATTCTCCGACGGCTTACGTGATAACGAGACAAGACAAGCACTTCTCCTAGCCCACCCAACGCACTTGGTGGATGCTTTAGCACGTGCCCTAGAATTTGAGGCCGCGAAACAAAGTTCTAGGTCTTTAGGAAGAGTACGGGCCATCGACGAATGTTCCGACGAATCCGTGGAAGGGATTGTTCGGAAGGTAATGGACCAGTACATGGGCAAGAAGGGACCGATTCGTTGCTGGAACTGCGGACAGGTGGGACACGTGCGAAGCCGTTGTAAGGCGAAGAACGAAGAACCGGCTTCGTCGAGGTCGGAAAACTACTAAGGGTCGAAATGAAGGGGGCACACGTCGACCTGTACCCAACATGCCCCAACGAAAACTGCTCAAGTCGCCTCGCTACAACACAAATTCAACAGCATTTTTGTGGATGGTTTTGTTGATGGAGAGTTCCGGACCATGCTGTTGGATACAGGTGCGACGAAAACTATCATCAGACCGGACATTCTTAAAACATCGAAGAAGGTTAAAACAACACAATGGCGACTACGTACTGCCACGGGGGGCTCCGCTGCTGTCCATGGAGAAGTAAACCTTAATTTTGTTATTGGGAGCACCAGTTTTGAACATCCAGTGTTAGTAGCAGATATCGAAGATGAACTTATTCTCGGAATGGACATCATGGCCACTAAAGGTTTTGAACTAAACTTCAAACAGGGAATTTTGAAAATAAATGAAGAAGAAGTGGTTCTACATCGAAAATGTGAGGAGACGCTTCGCGTGGTGGTAGCAGAAGATGTTTCGATCCCTGAGCGCTGTGAGATATTTTTGGATGGTTGCCTGGAAGGTAAAATGAATAATGGGAGTATTATTCTGTTGGAGCCAAGGAACCATGACAGCGAAATAGGACGAGGGATCGCTGTTGGAAAAGCCCTGCTACGAGCGAAGAAAACTGTACCGGTGAGAGTAATGAACACGAATTATTATTCTGTATCCTTGAAGAAGGGAACCTCTTAGAGGGTACTGTTGTTCGGTCTCCTCAGTCGTTCGAAGCGTGGAAGCCTCCAAAGTTTCGACTTCAAAAATTCCGGACAAAATGGTGAAGGAGTTAGTAAACGTTAAAGGATTATCTCCCGAAAATAGTAGAAAATTGAGAAACCTAATAATCAAGTATCAAGACGTGTTTGATAAAGGAGAAGCAGGAGATAGAGGTCGTACCAATTTAGTACAACATAAAATTGACACTGGAGATGCACGACCAATCAAACAAAATCCGAGAAGACTTCCGCTCGCCAAACGTGAAGAAGCTGACAAAATCCTTCGAGAAATGAAAGAAGAGGGTGTCATCGAACCATCTAACAGCCCGTGGACATCGCCGGTAGTACTAGTAAAGAAGAAAGACGGTACCACCAGGTTCTGTGTTGATTATCGGCAGCTCAATAATGTTACCAAGAAGGATAGCTATCCCCTGCCGAGGATAGACGATACTCTAGACACACTGGCGGGGTCAACGATATTCTCTACGTTAGATCTGAAGAGTGGATATTGGCAAGTCGACATGGCGCCGAAAGATAGAGAGAAGACAGCGTTCTCGGTGGGCTCCGGACTGTGGCAATTTACCGTCATGCCTTTTGGATTGTGCAACGCGCCAGCTACCTTTGAGAGACTAATGGAGTCTGTGTTAAAGGGACTATCCTGGACTACCTGTTTAGTGTACCTGGATGACATCATAGTGGTGGGAAATCCTTTGACCATCATCTGAAGAAATTTGAAGAAGTTTTCAAGCGACTAGGGAGTTCTGGTTTGAAACTTAGCCCCAAGAAATGTCATCTGTGTCAAGAAAAGGTACACTACTTGGGCCATGTAGTCTCCTCCCAAGGAGTTGCGGTAGATCCACAGAAGACCAAGACAGTGGAAGAGTGGCCGATACCTAAAGATAAACATGAACTACGAAGCTTTTTGGGACTATGCACATATTATCGACGCTATGTACAGGGTTTCGCCACCATCGCAAAACCATTGACCAGACTTACCGAAGGCGAGAGGCGTTTCTCTTGGTACTCAGATTCTGACGAGGCATTCCGAAAATTGAAGAAGGCCCTGACTAGTACTAGTACTATTAGGCGTTGTTCTGTCTCAGATCCAGGATGGTCAAGAAAAAGTAATTGGTTATTTTAGTAAGACCTTGTCAAAACCGGAAAGGAACTACTGTGTAACCAGACGAGAATTACTAGCAGTAGTTAAAGCAGTGGAACACTTCTACAAGTATCTCTATGGAAGAAAGTTCTTGTTAAGAACAGACCATGCTGCTTTGAAATGGCTGTTGCAGTTTAAGAATCCTGAAGGGCAGGTAGCTAGATGGATTGAACGATTACAAGAATTTGACTTCGACACAGAACATCGAGCTGGGGCAATCCATCGGAATGCCGACGCACTTTCAGAAGACCTTGCGCTAAGGACTGTAAGCATTGTTCCCGAGCAGAAGAGAAAGAAGTGAAACTCCTAAGAACAACTGTGGTTAATGATAGTTGGCAACCCGAAGATCTTGCAAATGACCAAACCAGTGACCCAGAATTAGGTTTAGTAATTAACTGGAAAAACACAGGCCAAAGACCAACGTGGGAAGAAGTTTGCAGATATTCGCCGAACGTAAAGTCGTACTGGGCCCAGTGGAATTCCTTGGTAATAGATAACGGACTACTTCGCCGTGTGATCGAGAGACCGCAGGGACAAGAAAGAGAGAAGGCAGATCGTCATTCCAAAGAAGAGGGTCCCAGAAGTCTTGGAGGAAGTTCACAATGGAACCAGCGGAGGACATCTTGGTGTTACCAAGACACTTGGCAAGCTGCGTGAACGGTTCTACTGGGTGAACTGCAAAGAAGATGTGAGGGCCTGGTGTAAGAAATGTGACATTTGCGCAGCCATTAATGGGCCACAAAAGCGTGGTAAAGCCCCTATGCGCCAGTACAATGTTGGTAGTCCCTTCGAACGAATAGCGATCGACGTGGCTGGTCCTTTCCCGGAGACGAACGATGGCAACAAATACATTGTGGTAGTAATGGATTACTTCAGCAAATGGGTCGAGGCCTACGCGTTGCCAAATCAAGAAGCGTCCACGATTGCTGATGCCCTTGTTAAAGAATGGATCTGCAGGTTTGGTGTTCCCATGGAGCTTCATTCAGATCAGGGAAGAAACTTTGAGTCCAATCTGTTCCAAGGCGTCTGTGAAGTCCTGAACATCCGCAAGACCAGGACGACTGCTCTACATCCACAATCCGATGGGATGGTTGAACGCATGAACAGAACTATCAACCGTTATCTGGCCAAAGTAGTCTCTGACCACCAAAGAGACTGGGACAAATTTCTTCACCTGTTCCTGTTGGCCTACCGTTCATCCGTCCAAGAATCTACAGGGCAAACTCCAGCCAGCATCGTTATGGGACGGGAAGTGCGCCTACCCTGTGATCTGAAATTTGGTTGCCGACCGGGAGAAGAAGTCGCCGGAGAAGATTATGTCCACACACTACGTCAAAGGATGGACGACATTCATCAGAGAGTCCGCCTAAATATTCAAAGTGCTAGTGACCGAATGAAGGAACACTACGACATTCAAGCTGAGCATGGAGGATACCAACCAGAGAAGTTGGTGTGGCTATATAACCCGCAGAGACGTCGTGGGTTATCTCCGAAGCTACAATCCTCGTGGGAAGGGCCATACGAAGTCATGGATAGGATTAATGACGTCGTATACCGTATCAGAAAATTGCCAAAAGGAAAACCGAGGGTAGTCCATTTCAACCGTTTGAGCCCCTACCAAGGCGAAATAGAAGATCGTGCTGGGACCGTGAGAACCTGCAGCTTTGATCCCCTGATTCGGAGATGTCCTTTGACGATTTCATGGCCCGATACAACAGCAGTGAGAAGGCTCGCTATGGTGTAACCAAAGAAGATCAACGAGACCTCTTTTCCGTGCCTCCTGATTATTCGCTCGCTCATTGTGTGGCTCGAGATTTGCGGATGTCCAGAGGAATCGCTGCGACGTTCAATGAGAAGTTGATAGGGTTGGCCTAATATGATATTGTTCCCGGTACTTTGTGGAAGCATATGGAACTATAAAGTATTTTTCGGATTAAACGGCCATATTTTTTATGAATTTTTAGACGAACAGCCAAATGGCTCAAACATCATGCGTTTTTAAGCTAAATATAAAGCTTTTTTCCTTAGTTATTTTGTCATTTCTGACGGTGGACTAATATTTTAAAGTTTGGCCCCGGTTTCAAGCAAATTATTATAATTTTTTAATTACAAACATGAGTTTCTATTGAAAATAATATAATAATTTGAAATATTTTGAGAGACGCTCGAACATTTTGTTATATAAACCCACTATTTTATTCAGTAAAGTTGATTGCGTTCTGGAATTTACCTAAAAAAGGCGTTAAAATCGCACGGTAAATAACAAATAACGAAAAAATAATAATGGTTTCCATAATTATTTTCCATCATGACACTTATTTTTATGAAATGTGAAATTGCATGAAGAGGTCGCTGCGAATAAAGTTCAACAGTTTAACGAAAGTTCCACATGTCGGTGGATAACACTTGGCTGCCATGAACTCGCGACTAGGCAGCTTCGTAACGGTTAGTCGCATTCACCAGTAGGCTACTTTATAGTAACACATCATAGTAACTCTTTTAGTGGCAAAAACTACCCAAAACACTACCCGGCTACTCAAAATCTTTCCCCATTTTGGTCGCAGTTACTTAGCAGCTACGAATATACGACGTAGCCGCCGACGGTCACCGACCACTTTGTAGTGGCTTTGATAGTAGCAGTTACGTATCTGCCACTATAAATGCTAGTTGGGTTGAACACAATATCCACAACAATAAACTTTGTTGTGGATAGTGGACCTATTCTTGCCTCCGGCTTAATCACTATTTGAAGAGTCGGAACGTTAGAAGAACTCTTCACATGGTGATCCAGGCGGAGATCTTCCTCGAAAAAAATAATATTCTACATTATACAGGGTTGTTCACCACATACGACACGGAGTATTGTAGCTAAACGATTAGATTTTTACAAATTGTAAGTTTTGGGTTCGTTGAAGGACTATTAGAGCTACAATTTATAAATATTTTTACAAGATACAGAGTGTCCCAAGTAAATAAAAAATATCAAAGTTGTATTTTTTTAAATGGAACACCCTGTATATTATTACATTTTTAGTTTCTATGATTAAAATAAAGGTAAATTTGATAAAGGTTTATCGCCCTTAAACCTTACCGTTTCTGAAATATTTTCAATTTTGTGAAATTGCAGTAAAAATTTTAAGGCTTCATTTCTCCAAGGGTATCATAGTTTTTAATACTAAATATTTACTGAAGTTTAATTATTGATCAGTTATTGTGTTGCAATAATAAAAATAATACTACCTCATACAGAGTGTTTAAAAAATTATTTTAAATAATTTCTAGCTTTAACCGGCAATAACTTGTTTAATTTAAATTGAACACCCTGTGTATTTTAGGAGAATCAGATGCACAATTTAATTGTCCATCAAATTGTATTATACCACTTTTACTTACCCCTTCAAGTTTTCGTAGAAAATGCATTTTCCTATAATTTAGACCTCATTTATCAATATACCCGTGGAATATTGACATTTTAGATTGTTTTTAAAGCAACAAATGTATAGGGGCTAAAAACGATAATATTACCAGCCTATTTGTGTACACAAATAAAACTATTTAAATCTTTATAAAAGAGTATACCATTAATTAAATATCCCACCATTATTTCCGCCCAAATATTAATTAATTACATATTTAATTCTGTTAGTTCATAAATTATTCTAAATAAATGTGGATTTGGAATCAGAAATCAATATAATAATAGGTTATGAAAATGAACGTCTGTATTGTTATAAATAAGCATCCGGCAAAAAATGAAATACAATTTTTAAGGTGTTACTTTTTACCACAATGTCTAATACACATACAAAATTAAGTTTTTTAGTATTTGGAGCAATTATTATTAATCAACGCAAACAGTCAATTAATGTAGTTTGAATACTGGAATCATATTAATTGGTCCTCTTTTACAAATATTTAAACATTTTTTTAATTTTTTAATGACACAAATGAACTATATCGACAATATTAGTATCTGTACCCTTTAAAAATTTGTTACATCTTTAAAAATAATCAAAAATGTCAATATTCCATGGGTACATTGATAAAAGTCTAAATTATAAGAAAATGCATTTACTACGAAAACCTGAAGACAAATGTAAAAAATGATATAATACAATTTGATAGACAATTAAATTGTGCATCTGATTATCATAAAATATACAGGGTGTTCCATTTAAATTAAAAAGTTATTGCCGTTTATAGCTAGTTATTATTTAAAATAAATTTTTAGACACTCTGTATAAGGTGGTATAATTTTTATTATTGCAACACAAAATTTAGTAAATAGAAATACTTCAGTACAATATTTGGTTTTAAAAACGCCTGGAGAAATAAAGCATTAAAATTATTATTACTGTATTTTGACAAAAACCTAAATATTTCAAAAACGGTAAGATTAAAATGCGGTAAACCTTAATCAAATTTACCTTTATTTTAATCGTAGAAACTAAAAATGTAATAATATACAGGATGTTCTATTTAAAAAAATACAACTTTGATATTTTTTATTTATTTGGGCCATTCTGTATTTTGTAAAAATATTTTTAAATTGTAGCTCTAATAGTCCTTCAACGAACCCAAAACTTACAATTTGCAAAAATCTAAGAGTTTAGCTACAATACTCCGCGTCGTATGTGGTGAACAACTCTGTATATTATAATGATAACAAGTATAATTTTTAGTTAGATCATGAACCGTCTCAATGGTTAGTTTTAGAAGCAAAAGCCCTTAACAAACAAAACACGACATTAGATTCTTGGAGATTCTTTAATATAATATTTAAAGTAAAACGGTCATCATCTATCTATACTGCAGTATTCTTCAGTCCGTTTTTGGGTAAGGCATTTCCTATCTTGATTATATTATTAATGAAACTCATTAAGATTTTTTTTTAATTTTATATATGAATTATATCAACATTTAGTTATCGCAGTGTTGCTTCTTACATCTTTTTGGGTTAGCACAAAAGGTCATATGAAAATATCTATGGGTTGTGCACAGCTATTGTTGGAAACTTTGATGTTGTTGACACTAGGAAGCTTTGTGCCGAACAGTTCAGATCACGTGCCGAACTTGAGTAAGATTTTTAAATAACTATTTCAGTATATGATAATTAACAATTATAAATATAAATAACCTCTATAAACCCAGAGGACATATTAGTTTTTTAGCAGATACGTCTATTAAAACAGTTGACTTTCTGGTAAATTGACATTTGCATAAACTCAAGCTTCAAATTAGCAATTTTTTAGATAAATTACAGCTAAAATTAATCTTAACTTGTTTTTTAGCTCTCCTGTACAGTTGGAGTCTAGTGGGAACACTAGTTTCAATAATAATATCCATTATAGTTATAAACTTTTCAAGAGAAAAACAAGGGACTCCTTTATCTCACATTTTGTGCAATATTCTTACTATAAAATTTGTCAAAAGGATTTTGTTTTTACCTGACATAATTGTAAGTATAGCCAAACGAAGTGTATAACCCTTGTTTATAAAAATAAAGATATTTTTAATTATATGCTTGAAAATCTATTTATAATGTTTGTGATAATTTTTTTAAAAGTGTTTCCTGTAGTACAGAATATCTAGCTACGCAACAGAAAAATACTCGAAATGAAAGAGCTAAAATTGCACAAATAGAATACTAGATGGCGCGACAATATCATAATCAGAATATAATTAGAAATTTTCAACTTTCGGTTTTGGATCGACGGCTCGTCGACGGCCTTATAGCTCGGCTAAATATGCACAGTTGCCAGATTCAAAAAGACTTGAATTGGCATCCAATTTTTTTATTGTGTATAATGCAGTATGTGTTTCTTTCTATTCTTCTTTTCTTGTCAGATACACTTATATTAATTATTACTTTTGCTATTAAAATAGTGTTAAGTATATTATTACAAAACATATACATTTTTAATATACGCTACCTTATAATGTTAACTAAGAGAATACCTTTAATTACCTTTAAAATTAATAATATACAGGGCGATTGATAGTGATATTTATTAATGCTGGAACGTTAGTAACTAAATATAAGTTTAATAATAATGGAAATAATTTATTAAAATGCAGTACAAAAAATGTTGACTGACTAAAAAATACTATAATAACAAATTTCTTCCGTTTGCGAAGTGACACAGGTACAATTAATAATATATTAGTTCGGCATAAAAGTTGCTGTCACGACATCGCACAATAAATTAAAATTCGTAAAATAAATTAAAATGATTAATTAAACAAATCTTTATAGAGAAACGCAAGTATACCAAATTTGGGCCCAATCGAACTCCAGGAAATGATATCATAATAGTGTACTATATTATGGTACTACTCGATATGCTTTAAGGTACCATAATATTGCAATGTCACCGAAGATCCGTAGTATACCAAATTTAAGAACAATCGAACGCCATGAAATGGTATCGTAATATGATACTATATTATGGTATCACTTGATATGCTTCTGAAAAAAACGGCGTCCAGTTGGCTGGAAAAGGACGATCGATGACATTTCCCATATAAATTTACATATAAAATGACAGCGATATTCATTTCATAGCTATCGCTAACGCCGTTTTTTTCCCGATTATACGATATGAACTTGGTATGAACACAATCGAACGTCAGGAAGTGGTATCATAATAGTAGAACAATACTTATTATATTGTCGCCGAATTACAATGAAAATTCAGGATTCAATTATACAATCAAACGTCAGGAAGTGATTGTAATTTAGCTCATAAGATTTAATTCCAACTAACATGGCAAACTGAAAAAAACAGCTCTGATCTATTTTAATATGTTTAAATGATGTAGCAAATTTGAAGGTAGGCTTTATCAGGAAGTATTACGATATGAATTACACCGTGGCAACACTGCACAAAATTCTTTTAAATTTTGTTTGTAGAAAACTGTTTTCTTTTAAATTTATTGTCCTCTATTATGTAGTAGCGAAACTACCACATCAAAATATCTGATTTGGAGACAGGCTTTTAAAGCCTCCTTTTGCTACCTACAATTTTATACATGTAACGAGGTTTCTGTTGCGTAGCTAGATATTCTGGGCCTGTAGGTTTTTCCTATTTATTTGATTATTAATTCTTTAATAATTAAATACAAAAAGAATCTTTACTTTTTTAGATGCCGGATGAATATGGCCATTTGGGAAGAAACTCATTGACCAAAAATGAAGATAAAGGCCAATCTTTTTGGTTCTTGTTGGGTGTGGCAATAGACAGAATTTCCTTTTTTGTATATTTATTGCTTGTGTGCTATGTCGTAGGACAATATATAGCATTTTGCCTTTAAATAAGTTTATAATATATGTTCTAAATTTTACATTTAAACATTTTACATAAAATGAAATTTTACATAAAAAATGTAAGTACTTAAGATTTATATTAAGTAAAAAAAATCCGAAACACGTGTGTTTTATTAACATGAATTTGTCAAATTTGTATCCAATGTCTAGGTATTTTTTGTTTTTGACTCAAAGCATTACCATATTCCTTGATATCAGATGTCAAAACTAGGGATAGTTACATGAGAAGCACTATAGACGATGGGCAAATTAATGTAATATCTATGTATGTATATGTAATCTTAGTTCTTCATATTTTACATAGGAATAAAGGTAGTAGGGAAATAAGTACAGTGGTGGCCAAAAGTATGGAAACTTTTTACTTTTTAAAATATCACAGAAAATATTGCTATGCTTAAACTCTCAGGAATATAAATGAACAGCTTATCAGCAAATAAAAGTATTCCAAAAATTACACAGCGAAAAAAATCTGTTTAGCAGTTTTTGTAGGAGAACAATAGATTTCTTGTGGCCAAAAGTATGGAAACCATAAATAAATACATTAAAATTATTTAGTTTAAGCTGATAAACGGTACGATTTGCTTCAGATAAATATAAACATCATGCCCAAGTCTAAATATTTCTCTATGGATTTAAAAAATAAAATAGTTGAATTATACAAGAGCGATTATAAACAAATTCAAATAAGTAAAAATTTAAACATTTTAAAAGGCACCGTTTCGAAAATAATTCGTAAATTTAGTAAATCAGGGAACGTTTCAACAGCTTTTAAGTCAGGAAGACCAAGAAAGTTGTGCAACAGGACAATGAAAGTAATGAAAAGAATATCAATGGGAGATCCAAGAAAAACATCCACAGACATTTCTCGAGAAATGGGTGAAAGGGGAATATTTGTGTTTGCACGCACGGTGACAAGAAGGTTGGATGACATGGGACTTTTTGGAAGAGTTGCGGTGAAGAAACCACTAATATCAAAGAAAAATAGGATGGCCCGCTTTAAATTTGCTCAAGATCATCTCACCTGGTCTTATCAGAAATGGAATACTGTACTGTTTAGCGACGAAAGTAAGTTTCAACTGTTTGGTAGTGACGGGAGACGTTATGTCCGAAGACCAAAAGGTACACGGTACAGCCATAAGTACCAGATGCCCACAGTAAAACATGGGGGTGGGAGTATAATGGTATGGGGGTGTTTTTCTCGCTCAGGTGTTGGTCCTCTTGTTAAAATTGATGGGATAATGGACCGTTTTTTGTACAAAGACATATTGGAGAATAATATGCTGCCTCATGCTGATGAAGAAATGCCACTCAGATGGTTGTTCCAGCAAGACAATGATCCCACGCACAAATCTCGGTTTGTTCAAAACTGGTTAAATGCACATAATGTTCCACTAATGGATTGGCCCTCACAGTCTCCGGATCTTAACCCCATAGAAAATTTATGGGACCATTTGGATAGCAAAATTCGAAACCATTCTATTTCAAATAAAAATGAATTATGGGAAGTGCTAAAAACTGAATGGGCGGCCATTTCCAGTAAAGATTGTACGAGATTGGTCGATTCGATGCCACGAAGATGTAGAGAAGTAATTAATTTCAAAGGGATATTCCACTAAATATTAGTAATTTTTATATTATCTTGAATTTTAATAAACATTCTTCTTAAGTTTCCATACTTTTGACCAAGAAAATATTCATAATTTTTTATATATTTTTTGATAGCTGTAATTTTTTATTTAAATGTATTAGGTTTTGTAGGAAATTATTTGTAGGTCACGATTATATAAGTCGTTTTATTTCATATTTTAATTTCTCAGCATAAATGACAAATTAAAAAAGTTTCCATACTTTTGGCCACCACTGTATGTTGGAGGGATGCGTTGACACGGTGACCAATCATGTTTGTATAATCAATAAGTACAAATAAAATGGCAGATGAAGACAACATTATTGTACAAATAAAAGAATTAGACAAGGTTAGGTAAGTAGATAATAATTATAGTTATATTTTATTATTTTAAAGATGCATTTTCTAAGATAAATATACAAGGTACTGCAAAAAGTTAAATACAAAAGTTATAGGGTTTTTAAATTTCTATTAGCTAGTAGCAAATTTAAGTAGGGATCGGACATAAAGTTGTGGGCATATCAAAATTTATTTTTTGTAAATGCAACCCCCTATATATTATTGCATATTTCAATTTCTTCAATTTTAAGTAATAATCGTTATATATACAGGGTTGTTCACCACATACAACACGGAATATTGTAGCTAAACGATTAGATTTTTACAAATTGTAAGTTTTGGGTTCGTTGAAGGACTATTAGAACTACAACTTAAAAATATTTTTACAAAACACAGAGTGTCCCAAATAAATAAAAAATATCAAAGTTGTATTTTTTTAAATAGAACCTGTATATTATGACATTTTTAGTTTCTACGATTAAAATAAAGGTAAATTTTATTAAGGTTTATTACACTTAAACCTTACCGTTCTTGAAATATTTTCAATTTTGTGAAATTGCAGTATAAATTTTAAGGCTTCATTTCTCCGAGGGTATCAAAGTTTTTAATACTAAATATTTACTGAAGTTTATTTATTGATCAGTTATTGTGTTGCAATAATAAAAATTTTACTACCTTATACAGAGTCTCTAAATATTTATTTTAAATAATTATTAGCTTTAAACGGCAATAACTTGTTTAATTTAAATGGAACACCCTGTATATTTTATGAGAATCAGATGCACAATTTAATTGTCTATCAAATTGTATTATACCATTTTTTACCTATCTCTTCAAGTTTCCGTAGAAAATACATTTTCTTGTAATTTAGAACTCATTTATCAATATACCCATGGAATACTGACATTTTAGATTATTTTTAAAGATGTACCAAATTTTTAAAGAGTACTACTAATATTGTCGATATAATTCGTTTATTTCATTAAAAAATATAAAAAAAACTGTTTAAATATTTGTTAAAGACGACCAATTAATAAGATTCCAGTATTCAAAATACATGAATTGACTGTTTGCGTTGATTAATAATAATTGCTCCAAATACTAAAAAACTGAATTATGTATGTGTATTAGACAGTGTGGTAAAAAACTAACACCTTAAAAATGATATTTTATTTTTTGATAATTGCTTATTTATAACAACAGAGACGTTCATTTTCATAACTTATTATTATATTGATTTATGATTCAAATCCACATTTATTTAGAATAATTTATTAACGAACACAATTAAGTATGTAATTAATTAGTATTTGGTCGGAAATACTGGTGATATATTTAATTAATGGTATTTTTTTTATAAAGATTTAAATAGTTTTCTTTTTGCATACAAATATTGTGTATGTTAATAATGCATGTAATGTAATAATTTGTACAGTTGTTGTTTTAAAAACAATCTAAAATGTCAATATTCCATGGGTATATTGATTAATGAGGTCTAAATTATAAGGAAATGCATTTTCTACGAAAACTTGAGGGATAGGTAAAAAGTGTTATAATACAATTTCATAGACAATTAAATTGTACATCTGATTCTCATAAAATATACAGGGTGTTCCATTTAAATTAAACAAGTTATTGCCGTTTAAAACTAGTAATTATTTAAAATAAATTTTTTAGACACTCTGTATAAGGTAGTATAATTTTTATTATTGCAACACAATAACTGATTAATAAATAAACTTCAGTAAATATTTAGTATTAAAAACTTTGATACCCTCGGAGAAATGAAGCCTTAAAATTTATACTGGAATTTCACAAAATTGAAAATATTTCAAAAACGGTAAGGTTTAAGTGTAATAAACCTTAATCAAATTTACGTTTATTTTAATCGTAGAAACTAAAAATGCAATAATATACAGGGTGTTCTATTTAAAAAAATACAACTTTGATATTTTTTATTTATTTGGGACACTCTGTATCTTGTAAAAATATTTTTAAATTGTAGCTCTAATAGTCCTTCAATGAACCCAAAACTTACAATTTGTAAATATCTAATCGTTTAGCTACAATACTCCGTGTCGTATGTGGTGAACAACCCTGTATACATAATGTACCTAAATTCAACCATTTCCAAATAATAAAAGTTTTTTTAATCTCCAGAATTGCAAGACCTGCTTTTTTCTATGATTTTTTCGACATTCTACAAAAGGGAATGAACTAGTGATGAGACAAACCGTGATTTTCTGTTCACAGGCTTACCTGTGACAGCGACTTTGTATTATCTGTGACTCTTAACTGTGACTGCGACTTTATGATTATGAATCCGAAAGCACAATCACGGCTAAAATATAAGATACGATACGAATGATACGATTCTGTTGTTGTTGTTATATTAATTTTTATTTGTCCTTTATCCAAGGCCGCTGAAATAGAAAACACTAAACAATGGGTAAAAGGTATATTAAAAAATAAAAATGAAACAATTTTTTTATTAAAAGAAACCAACGGGAAAAGAATAAAATATGCAATATGCTCATAACCATAACGAACGAAACTTAACAACACGAGATAAGTAATACATTAAACAACAAATATTTTCCTTTGTATTAAAATAAAGGAAATATATAAGTTTCTAAAAAAAATAAACAGTATAAAGGTAAAACTTTATGTTTGGCTTTAAAAAAACCTGCTAAACTAAAAAGGAACCAAACCGATTCGCAGTGATAAAAAATAGTAATAAAATATAAAATACATAAAAAATTAAATCACTTCTAACAGTCACTGTCTTTAGATCACTTTGTCAGATATCTATCCTATGAGATGTACGTCGTGACTCGTGACTGTGAACTGAGTCACGACCGGCGCCATCGGCAGTTGCGTTCGCGACGCGCGACGTCCCGCTCTGTGAAGTATTTTCTCGTTGCCAGAGAAATCACAATTAACTGTAATCGTCACGCTTTAGCAAGTCACCGTTTATTTTCAAATCAGTCACAGGCCGTGACTGTGATTATAGAATATCAGTGACAAAGTCACAGTTACCGATATTTCACTCATCACTACAATACGGATATTATAGTATAACCCTTTATCTTTAATTTCCTTCCTCGTTTGTGTAAACATATCTAACCAGTTTTACATAAAACGTTAAATGCCGAACGCTAATTTTGCTACTTTTTCGGACTAGCGAAATTGACTCTTAATATTCATTTTTATTTACAGGCTTCCACCATAGACGGTAGACGGAAAGGGGCATGCCTCTTCTGCCAAGAGTACTTCATGGAGCTCTACCTCCTGGCCGAGCTCAAGACCATCAGCCTCAAAGTGACCACCGTGGACATGCAGAAACCTCCTCCCGATTTCAGGACCAATTTCGAGGCTACTCCACCTCCCATCCTCATTGACAGGGGCATGGCCATATTGGAGAACGAGAAAATTGAGAGGCACATCATGAAAACCGTTCCTGGAGGACATAACTTATTTGTACAGGTAAATAATTACTTCAGCACTCAGGAAAAAAATTCAATAACAAAAAGTATACCGCAGTTTCTTCTTTATTTTCCTTTTTTATCCAAAACAAAATCGTAAAGAAATTATTATGCTCAGAAAAAAATTGTAATAAAGGATTTTAGCTGAGAAAAAATATATATTTTCTGATCCTCGCCCGGGTTGTTATATTGAAAAATAAGCGATATGAATCAATCTTCAATAATGCTCAGAAAAAAATTGTAATAAAGGATTTGAGCACAGAAAAAAAGATATTTTTTCTGATCCACGCCAGGGTTATATTGAAAAATTAGCAATATGAATCAATCTTCAATAATGCTTAGAAAAAAAACTGTAATAAAGGATTTGAGCTCAGAAAAAAAAATATATTTTTTCTAATCCACGCCAGGGTCATATTGAAAAAAAAGCATTTGGTTTAGTGTGAGGAAATGTGAATCTTCTTAATTTTCTTCATTCTTTATTCAAAACAAAATCGTAAAGAAATTATTTATGCTCAGAGAAACATTGTAATAAAGGATATGAACTCAGAAAAAAATATTTTTTTTCTGATCCACGCCAGGGGTGTTATATTAAAAAATAAACAATATGAATCAATCTCCAATAATGCTCAGAAAAAGATGATCTACTGATATAGACCGGTTTTGTGGGAGGAAATGTGAATATTATTTATTTTCTTCTTCATTCTTTATCCAAAACAAAATCATAAAGAAATTATTAATGCTCAGAAAAACATTGTAATAAAGGATGTGAGCTCGGATTTTTTTTTTCTGATCCACGTCAGGGATGTTATATTGAAAAATAAACAATATGAATCAATCTCCAGTAATGCTCAGAAAAAAACGATCTTCTGATGTAAACCGGTTTTGTGGGAGGAAATGTGAATCTTTATTTTCTTCTTCATTCTTTGTCCAAAACAATCGTAAAGAAATTATTAATGCTCAGAAAAACATTGTAATAAAGGATATGAATTCAGAAAATAAAATTTCTGATCCACGCCAAGGGTGTTATATTGAAAAATAAGCAATATGAATTAATCTTCAATAATGCTCAGAAAAAGATGATCTACTAATGTAGACCGGTTTTGCGGGAGGAAATGTGAATCTTCTTTATTTTCTTCTTCATTCTTTATCCAAAACAAAATCGGAAAGAAATTATTAATGTTCAGAAAAACATTGTAAACAGTATAAAGGTAAAACTTTATGTTTGGCTTTAAAAAAACCTGCTAAACTAAAAAGCAAACCGATTCGTAGTGATAAAAAATAGTAATAAAATATAAAATACATAAAAAATTACATCACTTCTAACAGTCACTGTCTTTAGATCACTTTGTCAGATATCTATCCTATGAGACGTATGTCGTGACTCGTGACTGTGAACTGAGTCACGACCGGCGCCATCGGCAGCTGCGTTCGCGACGCGCGACGTCCCGCTCTGTGAAGTATTTTCTCGTTACCAGAGAAATCACAATTAACTGTAATCGTCACGCTTTAGCAAGTCACCGTTTATTTTCA